TGAAACTGAGTGGGGGTTTTTTCCAGATGTTTTTAAAGACTAACTCATTGATGGAGTAAAGACTCCTCAGTTTCAGTTCTGTTTAATGTCCTTATTTGGGGGTATTATTATTATTATTATTATTATTATTATTATTGATTGGTTAAAGAAGGTTTTTCACATCATTTCACCCTAAATATGTCTTACTAATTAATTTGAGATATTTTTTATTAGAAACGTTTGCTTGTTTCAACCTAGCCAGACTAAGATTTGCTGCTTGTTCACGGTTTCACATCATTGTAAAGTAAAAAATTTAGGACAAATCAAGCAGTCTGAAGGAGTCGATCCACAATAAGACACATTTAGAGGTATTGTTGTTGTTTTTTTTTCATATTTTCTGAATTTTTTGAGGCTAATTAATGTATTGAGAGGAGAACTTTTAGTCAAGTCGGTCTATTTAATGTCTATATTTTGAGGCATTATTATTATTATTATTATTATTATTATTATTATTATTATTATTATTATTATTATTATTATTATCATCATCATCATCAATTGGTTGCATTTTCATGGGGAACCACCAAGAAGCAACATGAAGATGCTGCACTGGAACCTGATGCATAGATGGTCAATTTTACTCCCTAAATGTGTTTGCAGCATTTAAAATGTAAGGTTTTTCAGTTCATCTGCTGTAAGTGAATGCATCACGACTTGTGTTGTCCGCCTGAACCTGCTCACCTTGGGCCTCCACTCGCAGCATCTGTGTCCGTCAGCTGACTCCCGTGACTCATCATTTCCTCTAATGGGCCCTGTCATGATCGATCCAGATGGCCCCAAATCAAACCCTGGACTTGGGCGCCTCCCAGCCCTAAAACCACAGCATTCCTCAGCCAATCGAGCAACGCAATGCTCCATGACATCACCGCCTGAGGAATGAACTGGCACAACAGTTGTGTGTGGGAAGTGACCCGGCTAAGGAGGGACTGGTTCAGACTGCTTCTACCAGCCTAAACAACCACCAGTCAAAGAGGCCTTTTAGTCACAATCGGGCATCTTGTGTGTTTAAATGTGTGTGTGTGTGTGTGTACCAATTTTGTTATTGAGCAAGCTGCAGGGAACTTTCCAACCCCACCAGAGTGCAGTTGCAGGGCTGTGGTTTTGATGAGCACTTACACAATAACATGAGGCCTTTAAAAACATACTTTCTGGCTGCGAGACATAAAAGCGAGTACTGTATGTGATGGGTGAGGTTGTGTAAGCCGCGCATACTTGGTCACACATAATAGACACAAACCGTGGTGATGGTGGAGCATACCTTAGTAACTAACCTACACACTACTTCATGCTTGTACTACACTACATTTCAGGCATTTTTACTGTAAGTGGTAAAACAAAGACAACTGCATGAGTAACTTAAAGACTTCGACTTAGATGACCTGGATGAGGAACTGCACAGACATATTAACTTAAAAGATGCCGCCACACGTTACTGTACAAATTTTGCATTAAAAGAAGAAAACAAACTTAAACATTAAACCAATTGTTCCTAACCATTGTGGTTTGTGACCATTCACGAAAAAGCAGCTGGAGCTATTTTCATTGCATTTATTTGTACAACAAAGTTTGCTCTGTTACACTCACACAGCATCATAATCTGTCCACATAAAAACAATAAAAACTGCACCAAAAGCCAGTGGCATCATGCTAATATGAACGATTACAAATATAGATAACAGTTCGTCCCATCATGCTAAATCTCACGATGATGCCGAGGTGGTGGCAGAAGAAGTTTATGAAAGCTCTAAACTCCTCACACAGTTTGAGTTTCAAATATTTCACAAATGATTAAAGAAAAGTCCAAAATATACAAACAATATGTGCAGCAGAACTTTTTTTTCTTCTTATTTGTTCCTGCCTCATTAATCATCTGGTAAACTCTGAGATTTAACTTGTGATTCATTGGAAGTCTGAACAACCGAACCACCTAACTGTAGATTTCACCAGATAGAACAACAAAATGTTGTTTACTCATCACCAAAATATGCACTTAATGGTGGAAGAAGTGTTCAGATCCTTTACTTAAGTAGAAATGTAAAAATGCTCCATTACAAGTTCAAGTCCTGCATGATTAACAGCAAAATGTAGTTAAAGTTTTGCATCCAAATCAGTGTGTTAGAAGAAGGTTACTGGTATTGCTGCTGCTGCAAGTGTAGCCGGTTTGAACGACTTCATGTCCCGTTTTATTTACAGCGACATCAGATAAACCTGAAGGGTCATCAGATGATTAATGGGAGAGGAAATAAGAAAAACACGGCTCCGATACACAAATCTGTTTTTAGTTTTTGGACTTTCTCTAATCTTTGGAACATTCAGTGAAATGAAACCATGTGAGAAGTTTAGAGGAGGAAAAAAATCAGTGTTTGGTGCAGCTGTTAAGAACTCAAAGACGTCGAAAAAGTGAAGTCACTGGTTTAAACTTTAACAATATGTCGTATTTCAAAAGATTCTTTTATTACCCATGGTGTGAAATCATCTTAAAATAAAAATGCTGTGAAGTAGAAAGTATAATATTTCCCTCTAAAATATACAAAGATGTAAGTACAAAGTGTGGGATAAGCACCTCTATGATGACTTGAGAAAATGTTCTTTCTTGCTTTCCATCGTTGCATAAAGTAATATATTAAACAGAACACGCGTTTTTCCTACATGTTTGTTGTACATTTAAAAACGATTGTACAATTGCAGTTTCTTCTACATAGACAAGAATCTGTGCAACATCAGTATTTCTTTATCAGTATTTCTACTCATTGAAGAATCTAGTTGCCCCTGATGAGGGACAACTATCCAGTACTCCCACCTGTGTGTCTGTCTGTTAGCGGTCATTAGTTCAAGAGCTAAGGTCAAACAAATTGATATTTTACAGGTGAGCTAGGAATGGCTTCTCCTCAGATGATTAGATTTTGAGGTCAATCAGTGCAAAAATATCTCCACTAGAGGTCAAAGGTCCGTTTTTCAAAAAGGCTGTATATCTTCAAAATTGGGGAAGGTAGATTTATGGTATTTGGTGGAGATAAGCAACCATGTTGGGGCTTTCCATTTGACCTTGGATGATAATTCGAGGTTAAACTCAAGGTCATAAATTTTGACTGCACTGTAACTTGAAAATGGTGCAAAATAGAAAAAAAATTGGAATTGGAAACCGTATATAGGCTTCCCACTGGGGATGTAACATTTGGGTGATATCCATCCATCCGTCCATCCATCATCTCTACACCTAATCCTCACTAGGGTGGTGGGGGGCTTGAGTCTATCCCAGCTGACTCAGGGTGAAGGCAGGTTCACCTGGACAGGTAACCAGTCTATCACAGGGCTACACTTAGAGACAGACAACCAAGCACACTCACATTCACACCTACGGACAATTTAGAATCACCAAGTAACCTCAGCATGTTTCTGGACTGTGGGAGGAAGTCGGAGAACCTGGAGAGAACCCACGCTGCACGGGGAGAACATGGAGACTCCACGCAGAAAGATCCCGGGTGTCCTCACCAGCGACCTTCTAGGTACCTTGCAGCCTCCTTGGGTGATATCGCAAGGTCAAATTTAAGGTAAAAAAATGTTGATATTGCCATCATATTTTAAATAACATGGAATGTACACATAGATTTCACCTTGGACAACCAGCCAAATATGATTAGTGAAAGAAAACACCTATTTTGTGGTAAGTTAAGAATAGTGGTCTATTGGGGCTCAGTGCAATCATGGCAGTGGCACCTATTGACACCTACTGAGGGCCCTCTAGTTTTTTAATGTTTTAAGTTTTAATTTGTCATTATTTTCCAAGACAGGAGGAATCTGTTCAATATCAACAATCCTTATGTATAGTTGTTATTATTGTTCATTTTCTACTCATGTTTCCTGCATGTTTGTACGATCCTTTTTGCTGCTCTGTGGGATTAATATATTACCTTTTTTTAGTCTTATCTTTTCATACTTTAGGTATATTCCGCTGGTAATATAATTGTGCTTGTATATTAAAAGGTTGATCATAGGACTGTTTCTTGGGTAAAAAGATCTGGGTACTTTCTCCAGCACAGATGAAGTCACAGACGCTTTTACTGGCTGAGGTTATTGAGAACATTCATCCTGGAGGAGGCCTTTTCCTCCCGCTGCTTGCTCAGCACTGTGTATATAAACTGGGAAGCGCTTCAGAGGGGCGCTTGTCTGCACACTGTTTGAAAACCTGGAAAACCCATCAGCGCCTGTGAACCGTAGCTCTCCTCAGGAAGTGCCTGAGAGACCCTGAGCGTCCATTTTTCACAGCGAGGTGAAGCTCGTCTCAGACCGAACCTCGCCGTTGGGTTTTAGTCGAGCAAAGGATCGACTTCAGGGACTCCGACTGCTGCTAAATCTATCATGTTCAGCTAATGATGCTCTCTCTTCACATTTGAAGTCTATTTAAATGTTTTGTTTGCACCCACTATGTTGAAAAATGGGGTTTTGAGAGGGAACAGCTGGAAGTCTCGCTGCACAAGAGGAAGCCATTTAGCACTTTGTACCTGGGTGCAAAACCAGAATAAAGGAGGGAGCGGGGGAGTTTTTATCGAGCGCATTCTGTAAGTAGGTACAGCTGGAAAGGGGAGCGGAGGACGTGTAACCTCTCCTGATGCTATGAAGTAATTTTCTCATGGCCACGCTCTCCCTTTCCCCTCACCCATTTTCCTTTCCACTCCCTGTTTCTCCCTCGTCTTTGCCAAGTGTCTCTCAAAAGCACAGTTTATAAAATATGAACCGTCTTTGGAAGTTTCGGAGCTAATCGAGCACATATTGAACGGAGCTATGACGACAGAGAGCACGCAGAGGACAAAGGAACTGGACTGCGGGTGGAAAGATGTAGGGGGAACGGGTGTGGAATAATCAGGCAAACGGCGACGTAAAGTGATACGCAGACGGACGACAGGGGAATGGGAGGTGCAGGGAGGAGGCAGGAATCTGAAAAGAAACCATCAAACAGTAAACTCGTATAAAACAGTTTAATAACATCTCTTAAAAAGGATTTGGACACTGCAATAAAGCATTTTTCTTTTTAAAAAAAGGAATGTGTAACATGTCTATACGACACAGAGAGAGCAAGTCTTGCTGTTTAAAAAGGCAACGTTTGAGCTGACCGACTGGCTGGGAGAAGGAAGAAAACAAGGCGAGTAAATGTAAACCATGCATGAGGCACAAAACAGAAGTATTGTATGACAGTGCTGAGAATATTTCCTCATTCCCGCTCGTAAACTCTGGTGCAGACGACGTCCCCGGCAGTCATCGTCTGAAAGGGAAGCAGCAACAAAAGGACAGGTTCAAGTTTTGTACCAGTTCCTGATAAGACACTCTTTATTGAGGGTTTTTAAGCTGTAAATAATGGATAAGATAACACATACTAATACTTTAATCAGTGAAAAAAACTATTGAGGACATTGTTTTGGTTGCTAGGTTGCCTGGTTTGCTGGGTAGAAGGACTGTGTAAGTACAATTGGTAAGTTGGATTTTGGTTCCAAAGCAGAAGGTCCCTCCAAGATAAAAGTGTGACTCCAGAGATGTTTGTTAGCTGGTTGGTCCAGACTGAGAAAACCTTAATAACTATTAGATTCATGGTGCTCAGAGGATGAACCCTATCGTTATCCCAAGATAGGTGATGAACATGCTGGCCTTGTGATATCATTTAAGGAATTTGTGTCTCTACTGTTATGGTTTTACATATTCGTAGCACACCGTTAAGAGGTAAATCAGACACAAACACACTATGGAGGCTACGTCCTGTTTTATTTGAGTTATTGGATTGTATTTAGATTCAACTGCCAGCACTGGAGTCTTTGCAGCCATCTCACCAGCTGTTGGTAAAAACTACTCCAGTTCTTTTCCTCAAGTGTCCAGTAAAAGGGCTTGAGAGTTCCAACTTGAAGTTACAATAAAGAGGCTGATGTCAGTGTGTTTTCCAACTCAGCTGTTTTTAATTTAGGTCCGCTAATTTGACATGAACACCTTTTCATTTAGTGCCATATGCTGGTACAACTGACAGCTGTACTTAAGTGTTAATCAACAACGCCTAACATGTCAACAGGCTCGACCAACATGGTAACAGATGGAGCTTCTTAAAGACGTTAGCATGGCTGTAGACTAAAGTGACTCTAAAGTGAATCCTCTGAAAACCGCAGACATTTCAAGTTTGGTGGTCAATCAGTCGTTCATATATCCAATGCTATTATCTAAGAAAGAAAAACAAGGGATGAATACAGTTTTTGGGATCCCATAGAATGGACGCAAAGTCTTTAGCATTTCCAAAACCCAATCGTTGTGCTTCACAGTAAAACACACTACGTCTTGTTTATCTTTTCACTGCAGCCCGAGATTTATAAAGAAATATTGCTTCAAAAAGTGACAACGGCAATAAAACTGTAGTCCACGCTATGATGGTTAAAGTTTGCAATCAATCCGCGGTTCACCAAACTGTGGTGATGATGTTGTTGTGTCAAATGAATCCACAATGTTTCAAGTGAATTGTGGATTCACAAACAAAATGTGATTGGTAGGCTCCACTGCCCGGCCTTTGGTGTCTTGTAAAATATCATTTCTTTGCGGTCTGTTCTAAACATATAATTAAAAACAGTCCCCATTTCTTGGGATTAAACAGGAATATTTGGTCCTCAGGGTTGTTTTACCACCTGGAATCTATAAAACGTCTTTATGGATTATAAATGATCTCCATTAATACATGTTTTTCTTAACTCTCTGTAAAGTTGTGAATCGGTTCTATGTACACGATAATTACCAGTATGAGCTCTCCATCATTGGTCAGCTCTCGCGTCCACGCCGTCTTAGGCCCGTCGCCTTTCTGTAAAGTCTGTTCACAGCTGATCTTTCTGTCCGTCTCCCACTTCGGAAAACTCTGCAGAGATTCACATGGGAAGAAAAATTAATAACTGAGATCGCTGAAAGGCTTTTGGACACTGACAGTAAAAGCTTGGGTTTGGTCATAACTGTAGCTCAGCGTGCTGATTATTGCATGTCAGAACATTTTTATGGCCTGTCAGGAACTTGGTCCTTCATCACTCAGTCAGCATAAAGAAATGCAGAACAGATCTCTGTATTATCACCAGGGCTGGGGTTGCTCTGAAATTACTTCCATATGTTTCTTTTGTGCAGAACTGTGGCTAGTTATGCTGTCCTTGGCCAGCTCCTGGTATGCATGTATTGACACTGAACAGGAATGTGTTAATGGAAAGTAAAGGGATGCGAACCGTGCAGGGGCGTCCGTCCACCGTGGCCTCGTTGAAGGACTGACCCACGGTGAAGGACACGTGGGTGGTTCGGACGCTGGTGGACGTCTTGATGGACAGACTCTCCCCCTGCTGGGTGATTTCCACCGCCGGGCTGGAGGCCGCTGTCACTGCAATTTTCCTCAGGAACACATTCACACCTGAACACACACACACACACACACACACACACACACACACACAGGCAGAGCTCATATCAAACTGGCAGCTGTGATGTGGTGGTGTGTAATGAATATAATCCAAGAGCATACCAGTGGTTTTGAAAGTTATAGGCCAAATATTCTTGCATAACCAGGTCTCTACAGTGCTGTGTCAGTGCTGGAGAACACTCTGGCTGCACCTCATTATCATCCTGCTACAGTAAAAAAAAAAAACAACCCTTTGGTTGTTGGTATGTTTTTGAACCAATCATCTTGGGCAGTGTTAAGCCCAGGATGTGGTGATGGTGCCCCTGCAAAAAAGTGGTAGGAGAATAGTTTGCAGGAAGGTGAACACTGTAGTTAAAATGGTTTATATGCTGGAAAAAACAAGCAGAAAAACCAAATCTTCAGCCAAAGTAGAATTTTTTAGCATGTAAGTTGCTGCTCAGAGGTTGATGCTGTTGTGTAGTTTAGCAAAGGGGGCTTAGAAAACAGAACACCCCAGATAGTGGGAGGGAAGGGAGGCAGACTTATACTGGAAGTCTACATCTGGTGAGTCAGACCATAGCTCAAAGATTTATTTATTTAGACTTTTACTCTAATTCCCCACTTTTCAAGTTGTAGATGAAAATCGATGCGCAGAGATATGATGTTTGCTTTAGGTCGGTATTCCACCACATTGAATCTTCCAGTACCTTTAGTTTTTGACAGGTGTGTAGAATTATATGCTGATGATATATTATTGTGTGGTAACGCCGCTGGGAGCAGAGAATGTTTGGGAAACTTGCTTGGTGTTCGATGAAACTATGTCACATGATATTTACGAGTCAACAGCAGCCTTAACGACACGAGTGACAATCAAATTTATATATGTCGTTTTCACAATGTCTGTGTTTGCTTACTGTCTGCTCAGTTTGATTCCTCCGATAACAAAGGGTATGAATGCTTACTGGAAGCTTAAAAGCTTTCACAATAGTCAGTGCCGCTGCTTTGCCTCACAATAGCACAACTTTGATGAAGAAATAGGCTAATGGTATGTACTGTGATTAACTTCTTAGTTTCAAGTCTCTGCATGCTGACTTCTCCTGCTATGCTGAGCAACCACGGACATGAATCCAAAAAACGTACAGTACCGTCAGAAAAGTGGTTGCCACTAATGCAGAGCACATGTGATTCGCTCTTACACAACATACAAAACCACTGGTATGGCTCTTTAAATCACTAATTTATGTGACATGCGACTTAAGCACCAGTAGATTATGAGATAAAGGGCGCCTGGGTACCTTCCTGTTACACATTTATGTCTGTGATTAAAGGCAAAAACGACTAATGACAAATACACCAGACCTACATCCAGAGAATCAGTATGAAACTTTACATTTTACTTAATGTGTGCATAATAAACTGCAAAATTCTGTCCACCAGCTTGTGAGGTAAGTGTCTGGAACCTGTAGCGCCCCTTGGGCTCACAATGCTTTGGTAGTTTCCAAACACAGCCGGACCATATCTGAAAAGATGTAGCACAACTGGACAAACGGTCAATGAGTTCGATGCTTTGGTTGATGTTTTTGACCAATCTTGCCCATTTTTAGTAGAACTGTGTTGCGTAGTCCAGTAGTGCTACGCACCAAAAAGTAAAGTCACTTCACAAAAACAATCACCACTGCAAACTTTTACTTTCCACCAAGAGGCTTCAGCGTGGAGCGAACTGAGCGGGACTTGTGTATTTTGTGCAACGTTTTATGTCTTTTTCGTTCCGCCTGATGTTAACAGTAACTTCAAACGAAAACTCTGGCCCCGGGCCCCCCTGACCTCTTGGTCCAAAAGGCCTGTGCCTGGCAGACCCATTCATTAATCCATCCATGGATTTGCAACGCAGCAAGAGAAAATGCAATGCGATTTTAAACAGGAAGGTCTAATCTTTCAGAAGTATGGCTCGCTCGCTGATGTGCACATAGAACAAATAGCTTATATGAACATTGTAGGAGCTTCGGTAAAAAGCAGCTGTCGTTTAGGTTCTGTTCAGGTCTGAACTGAAGACGCCTCTTGGATGAGATGTTAAAAAACCTAAAGAACCTAAAAGTGAAGTCCACTGAAGCTCCTCGGATCACAATGACCTGGATGACTGAGAATCTCCACAGACATGCCTGCATCAATCTGAAGTTGCGGTGTTAAATAAATGCAACCTGTAGGCTGACCCTTCAGTTCTGGCCATTGTTCATGTGAGCTGGACTGAACTTCAGAGAGAACCAGACACCCCACACATCTGATTCACTTCAGACCATATTTGCTCATGCAGTGGTACTAACACAAGAAACACACACACACACACACACACACACATGCTTATTCGCACACACATTCAGCCTCAGATTGGGTCAGAGAGGCCCCGGGCGGTGAAGGAAAGTCAGTCTCAGAGCTGGCTGGCTGCTGGGGCCCATGTCAAGGCTTAGTTCCGTTTACACTGGCTCTAATTACAACCGCATGAGGAGGACCCTGCCTCAGATGAGTCTAATCTAACATTCCTCCACAGGCTATTTGTCTTCAGATTTTTAATGGATGCCACTGGATGGCCCAGGCCTGACCTCTTGCTCCTGCTCTCCGCTCAGAGGACTTACAAGTGGATACTGCACAGCTTAACAAGACCAATATTCCCAGGAACATGGCAGCAGTGCAGGGGCAAAAGTCCCACGTTTTCTAACCACAGAGACCACTGTGGGTCTCCAGCTGACCTCTAAGCGGGGTGGATTTCCAGCTGATAATGCCAAATGACAAAATGAGTGGCAGGTCATTGTGAGGGAGATGCATCCCTTTTCCTCTTTTTTCTTCTTCTTCTTAATTTGCATTTTCACAATAGACCCGAATGGTTGATGAATAAACCAGAGAACATGGAGCACAGTCCTGCATGTAAAGCGCTTTTTGTTTCTCTCTAAGCAGCTTCATTTTTAGTGAAATTAAATGCATAATTCTAAAGAAAAAAAAAAACTCACCGAGTGCTTTCAAAAGTTCCTCGAAGTTTTCCGAAGACTTCATTTTCCATTTGCCTGAGAAATCTGTCACTGTATTCTCCATTTCAGCTGCAGGGATGAGAGATGTCGGTGCTTGCAGACTCTCCGCTCGGTTTGTCGCTCTCCGTTAACCGGTTCGGAAAGTCGTCTCCTCTGCCCGCATCTGCGCCTCCATTCATTGGCTGACAGCTCGCCTGGATCTGATGCCGGTCCAGCCAATGCAGAGGCTGGTGGCAGGGAGGGACTTCTCCTCCTCCTCCTCCCCCCAGACTCCCACTGTACCCTCCACCTCTGTCAGCATGGTGAAAGATTTGGATACGAGCTGGAAAATGCACTTCCAGTAAGAGCTTTGATGTTAATGAGCAGCAGGCTCGGATATTAAGGCGAAGCGTTAATTGCTTCTGCAGGATGGTGCCATTTAAGTCCCGATTATTTGCCAAAGAAGTCCAGAAAGTGGAAATAATGAGACTAAAAATGAGTTTATTTTACTTAAATTTTTTCTTTTTTTAAAGTAAACAGAATAGAAATCCAGTTTGATTCCTTTCATGAAGTTTTCAACTTTTCAGAGTGCTGGGATGTGAAATCAGATATGAAGGTAATGAGTTGGTGGAAAAGCTGGAAATGAAAGAGAGAAAAGATAAGACATCCAGCTGGAGGCATCCATCCAGGTAAGAGCCATCAACATTATCGCTCAATTAAAAGTTTACACTCAGGAGATTGCCTGCTTTGTTCATGCTAATCAAACAGCACCTAATCATTTACCCGATTCTGACTTGTGTCTTTATCTGATTCGCAGGTCACATATCTGTGCTTGATAACAAACATAGACACAAGACTCCTTCAGTGAATCACTGTTTAGCTGCATTATGTTCTGTGCACGCAAAACAGAATTCTTATTAATTTATGCAAGAATATGTCGTCTTAAAACTGAGGTCATTCATATCCAAGTATATTTGTTTAATTATGTGATACAATCATATACTGTAGCATCAGTAGCATCATTTAATTAATGACTAATATTACGTTTGTGTACTTCTAATGGGACCAGAATTATACAGAACAAAAATATAAACACAGCATGTAATACTTATTCAATTCTAACCATTATTTTAAACGTATTTGTTGTTCTGACTCGAGACACCTAAACAACAGAGTGACATCATGATGAAACAAGTACACTCTGTATGGGAATAAAAATGGGTAGTTTGAGAGTGGACCAGAAATCGTAAGTCAGTAATTAGTCATTCATGTACGACACAAAGAGTTAATAAAGTTGTAGATGTGCTTGGGAAAGTTGGTCCAACTCCTCCTGAAGGGTCTCGGTGAAGTTGACAGACATTTAAGGTGACGGGACCACGGTGTCAGACACGTCCATCCAGAGCTGTCTGACATGATTCCTTCTACTTAAGCACTAAAACACAGAGTCAAATTCCTTCTATGTGACAACCCACCTCCAATAAAAGTGTTTCTGATTAGCAGCGACAAATGGTGGCTTTGTGGACATTCATACGTCTGGCGACAGGCCTGCCCTCCAGCATGCCTTCGTCTTTTCTCTTGTCGTCTGTGGCATCGTCCAATTTAAATGAAGCTGCATTTTAAGGTGGACTTTTACATTAACTAGTCAGATAAGTGTCTGTGTACTGGTCACAATATCTGATCATTTCTATTTAAAGTCACACCTGACTAGGCTGTGGATTAACTCAGCAAACATCTCCTAAAACTTTTTGCACACAATTAACTAAATTGATCCCTTTTCTAACCAAAACAACAGAAAAGGGATTAAAGAAGAAGATCATTTGCATGCTGAATTTACATTTTTGTTCACAGCAATTAACTGGCAAATACAATACCCAGAGTGAACCACATCAAAAATCAAGTGTGACTAACTATTAACACTCGCAGATCTGATATTCAGCTAATGAATAAAATGTGAACAAAAATTCACAAGGTAAACAATCACAACAAAGCAACCTTTCCTCTGGTTTCGCTATGAAAGTAGCTGCACAGTTAAGCAGCAGATTATTCTCACATTACCAATGAAATGATAGAGAGATGTCACTGTGAAAACATTAGGCTGTTGGTTAGAAACAGAGAAAGACGAGCCACCTTTTTTCAAGAGTTAAAGCAAAGACATAATGAAAAAGTGGTGCCAAGAAACCTTGATTTGCAGCAGCGTCATCAGTGAAAGCATGCAGAGCCTGCAAAAGTGAAAGTTACATAACCGTTAACAGAGGAATAAATTAGGAGAAACCTCATATGTTATGGCAACATCACAGCAGCTGCAGGCAGAAAGCAGAGCAGATAACTTGATAAGCACTAAACTGATTGAAGAAATGTTAATTTAATATCACAACAGACAAACAACAGTCATCAAATAGCCATAAAATGCAGTAACCAAGTTAATAGAGCAGCGGGGGCCCGCTAAAGACATTTGAGTGATCAATTATGTGACAGAACTGTGGATGTAACAGCTTCATCATAACAACAAGCAGAAAGATCAGCAGAAAGTGTTTAAAAATGAATAAGTTATTTTAAAAAATCCCCTCAACTCTTGTCAGTGGGATGTGTTTGATCACAGCGTCCCAGGAGGAATAAAACTTGTTGGCAGAGCCTCTCAGCGCAAACTTATACTTCTTTAGGTTGGACCGTCTCTTTCTATGCTTTCTTTTGTTTCTCTCTCACACGTTCGCTCACTTACTGCCAAGAATATTTCATCAGGTCTGGATCATAAAGGCTGCCTCTGGAAACATGATGCACTGCATTCACCCAACAAAAGGAGTCATGATGTTATCTGTGCAGGTTGTCTAAGCATTCCTCCCCGTGGCACCATGCAGATACAGCACCGTGTAGAGTTACAGCAACACGGGAATTAACCTCATCGGCTGTTTCGTGCAGAGAGAGAGGGCATATAAAAGCAATTTTGAATGCAAATTAGACCTCCCTTCCACGGCAGCATTCACCGCTGGCTGACCTCGGACCGAGACACGCAGAGGACAACAGCAGCTCAGGGATGAGAAGAAAATGAGCAGAATGGCCCTGATGAAAGAATAACACTGGACACTGCTGTCCCTGCTGCTGCGACAACAGATGCAGCTTCATAAATCTGTGATTCCCCTGAAAGCTATCTCCCTGAATACAGGCTCCAATAATGTTGGTTCTCTGCTCTGAAGGTATCTGGAAGAAAAGAGGTCCAAGCTGCAAGGTTTAGGTCAAGAGGAGTCACGTAGCCTATTGAAAACAACAGACATGAAGTTAAAGGAATGTGAAAGAGAAATTAGATTGATTTGACTAATTTGCCATTTAGGTTAGGACCCCACACTGTAAAAACAGAACAAACAAAACATCCATCCATTATCTATACACCGCTTAATCCTCACTAGGGTCATGGGGGGCTGGAGTCTATCCCAACTGACTCAGGGTGAAGGCAGGTTCACCTGGACAGGTAACCAGTCTATCACAGGGCTACACTTAGAGACAGACAACCAAGCACACTCACATTCACACCTACGGACAATTTACAATCACCAGTTGACCTCAGCATGTTTCTGGACTGTGGGAGGAAGTCGGAGAACCCGGAGAGAACCCACGCTGCATCCTCTAGGAGATCCTCTAGCTGTGAGGGGACGGTGCTAACCACCGATCCACTGTGTAGGAAGAGTCATGGAACATAAAAATGATTAGACAAAAAAAACACAAATGTAGCTGCTCAGAAGTTGTAAATAAATTAATAAAACATGTTTATTCCTTGTAAATTTGAGCTGTATAGTAAGTCAGTATGCTGCCTACTGGTGGAACCAGCTCCTCTTGGATCTTACATTTGTTCCAACTGTACCCATTTTTTAAAACGGCCAGTCCTTTAATTAAACTCGTCTGCACTTTTGTTCACTGAAGTATTTTTATAAACAAACAAACAAACAAATGAAATTTAAGTTTTGTTGTATTTTGCATTTTGTCTTCTTCTTTTGTTTTAGTCAGTTAGTTTTCATTATTGCATACAATTTCTGTGCACTTTATTAAACTTTTTGTATTTTTGAAAATGTATTTACTTAGTTTCATTTAATTTTACGCTTCTGTATTATTTAATATTTATTTATTATTTACTAGTATTATTTTATTGTTTTATTTAATTATATTTTACTTCTTGTATTATTTATCATTTATTGTATTATTTTTCTAGTCTTTCTATCTCTAATTATCCTGTATTATGTTTTACAAGTTTTTGTTTTTTTTAAACTTGTCTGTAAAACTCGTGAAAATACCTGTGTATTATAAGGTGCTATATAAATAAACTTGTTGCTACCAAAATGAAACCTTTCGGAAATGACAGAAAAGTTGACAAAGTTGTTTTTTGTTGTTGTTGTTGTTGTTGTTTGTTTGTTTTTTGATGTCGGTAAAGTACATCTCAAAATATAACTAATGTTTTTTAAAGCAAATGCTGCTACAAAAAAAATATATTTGGAGACAAATAAGCATATGCAGTGACCTTCTGCGGAGGACAGAAGTCATTCATGTGAATAGTTGAGCAAAGCGTCACCTAGCGTTGACTCTTGCGGATACTTTATCCGGAACCTTTTCTAGTTCGACGTTTGCAGCCGGACGACATTTGATCAAGCAACGGTCTCATCATGGCGAGACACCTTCGCTTCATTGCGCGGACAGTGATGGTCAAAGAAGGCAACGTCGATGCGGCGTACGCGACTTTAAACAGGTCAAACTCACGGATTTAAGTTAAATTTTAGCAAAGGTTTGGTTGTTATCTGCTGAAGAACAAGCTAACGTTAGCTAGTTAACGTTAGCCTTCCGCTCAATGTCACAGAGCTGCGGCTGCGCAGTGAACACAAGCGTTGATTTACGTGTTTTGATGGTTTGGGGGATTTCTTTACATATATATAGATTTTATGTTTGTGTGTGTGTGTGTGTGTGTGTGTGTGTGTGTGTGTGTGTGTGTGTGTGTGTGTGTGTGTGTNTGTACAGAGGTAGAAAAATAATCTCCCACTTTAAATTAAAGGGGTTAATGTCTGCTGCAGCATAATCCTTATTGCCGACACTTTTGCAACCAGTTATCGCGATACTACGAGCAGTAATTCAGTTCTATAGAGTTTGGCAGTCAGTAGTTTGGTGTTTGTTTGTTTGTTTGTTTGTTTTGAACAACATCAGTCTGAAACAAAATGTCTAATGTGACAACTTGTGCACTTATGCACAAATGTTCCTTTATTGGTATGTTTCTGCGTTTTATAGTGACTTTAAAGATGCAGCTGAGTTTGTTGGGAATTGTTTGCTTGTCCAGTAGTTAGAAAACATCTTGTATTCTATGGATCAAGAATAAAAGGCTCTTTACTGTGAATAGGGCTGTATGATGTGCAAAAAAATGTCATCAAACATGTCAAATATGCAATTATTGTGACAGATTTTGTGATGTTAGTGGAATTGGTAGTCTTTGCATTTTTTATGCCAAGAAAAAAAAGTAAAAATAATGACGTTGCTACAGTCTGTAGTAGACAAGCACAGTTCCTCTACGTATGGAGAATATGGTCTATAAGGCGAGGCATCTCTATAGCACCACAACATTTAAATTTATAGCGCTGTGTTGTGACACAGTTTACATTTTATCAAAAAATTCCATCTCCTGCAATGTAGATATAGCACTTGTTCACACTGGGATTTCAGTAATATTTTTGATTAATTGTTCAGGCCTAATTTGGACCCGTTGGCAGAACCAGGTATTTCCTAACATTGCCAGATTTGAAGCCATGTTTGTGGATTTTCTTTTGACCCACCCCATTATTCATTATTCAGATTATTTGAAAAGAACAGAGAGCTAAAACATAAATCCACATTTTAGAGATGTTACTTGAAGGTTTACATGAACCTGATTGTGCTTTTATGCTCTCAGGCTATAAAGTTATCAAGAGAACTTGTTAACAGTGGTTGGACTGATTTGTCTGGCAGATATTGAATTGATTTACAATATATTCTTTAAAGTCAAGCTTCAGTTCAGTATTCATTATAGATGATGGAGCACAACAGCATGAGATACCATCAAAAGCATGAGAGTCACACAGTTACACAGTTGAAAGCCAGGTTCAGAAGAGCTAAATATCATGTATGCTAAATGGCCTCCAATTTTAAAACTGTGAATTAAATTTCAAAACTTTGAATTATTCAGTCTTAGCAATTGATTTTGATGTGTGATTGTAGAACATGCCGCGAGTGTGTTTAGCATCATCATATCAGTTATTTGGGACTGCAAGGTGGCTCATGGTTAGCACCGGTTCGCGTCCCGGTGAGGACACCCGGGATCTTCCTGCGTGGAATCTCCATGTTCTCCCCGTGCAGCGTGGGTTCTCTCCGGGTTCTCCGGCTTCCTCCCACAGTCCAGAAACATGCTGAGGTTAATTGGTGATTCTAAATTGTCCGTAGGTGTGAATGTGAGTGTGCTTGGTTGTCTGTCTCTAAGTGTAGCCCTGTGATAGACTGGTTACCTGTCCAGGTGAACCTGCCTTCACCCTGAGTCAGTTGGGATAGACTCCAGCCCCCCACCACCCTAGTGAGGATTAGGTGTAGAGATGACGGATGGATGGATATCACCCAAATGTTACATCCCCAGTGGGAAGCCTATTTACGGTTTCCAATTCCAAATTTTTCCCGCGACCCTAGTGAGTATTAAGGTGTAGAGATGATGGATGGATAGCAGTTATTAGCAAAAATCTCCTCTGAGGCTTTAATTGCTGTTAAAACACTATAACACACAAAAAATGTAATTATTCAGCTGAAGCAGTTTGTCAATCCAAAGCTGGAGTTTGTTTCATTTCACATCCATTAACCAACACAGAAAAATGTCCTTTCTTTAAATACATAAATTATATATAGCAAGACATTTAGAGGGACTTCTCTGCCTGTTTACCTGTAGAATAGAGAGTCCTGAATGCAACCCAGGTCTCAGCTATTCACACGTTTTCTCTGCTTACTCCAGGATGCTGCTTAGGGAGGGGATTATCGACACAGTGAAGCGCAAACGCTACTTCGAGAAGCCCTGCAGAGAGCGGCTGCGGAAGAACTTTGAGAACTGCAAGCGTATTTACCACATCGAAATGGCGAGAAAAATCCGCTTCATCTCGAGGACGAACAGAGAGGATCCTTGGCTCGGCTACTAGGGGAACGGAGTGTGTTGGAAAAAGGATGGTGGACTGATTGAAACTGAACCGACAGAGTGGAGGAAGCAAACAAGATCCACACAGTGTCACCATCACATCTGGAGAGACTCGGACTATTGTCACGTTGTTTTACATTGTTTGTAGATGTGCGACAAGTTAACATTCGTCAGGAAGAACGCAGCATTCCTTCTGATTGTAATGACAAGGTTAACGAGCGCCTTTAAATATTCCTAATAAATATATGACACCATCAACAAAGACAAACTGGTGTATAGTGTAGGTGTGTATAGCACCCAGCATCCGGGGACACTTTGCCTACGCGACCTCATTCGCTGGAGGAAGCTCAAACAATGTCAGGGATGATTTTGTGTGAATTGGGTCTCAGCTCAGCAGCAGCTCGATGTAGATTAATTCAAGGTCACTACTGCACAGCGTGGCGTCGGCTGATGGCGTCGCCCGCTTCCCACAGACTCCCCAGAAGCGAGACCCAGCGGCCACGCACATCTGTCGGAGCCTGAACTTTCACTGCGGGGGGCTGTGATGTGTGCGCTGGCCCACACAGGGGAAAGTTAAACATTTTCACCACGCTTACTTGTTTGACAGGTTACCAGGTCATGTTGATATCCTGTCCTGTGGCTTCAGGCAGTGGGTGGCTTTGTTACTACTGAGAGGAACAGTACCACAGATGACCTATATTTCAGATTGAAAAAAGATTGACAGCTCTCATTGATGCTTCTGTTAAAGCAGCGCTTCTCAAACTTTTTGAGCCACAACCCCCAAGATAACATAAGTTTGTGTTTGTGACCCCCCAATTTGAATTTTTAATACAGCGTTAGTAATAACTTTGTTGTTCGTGCATTAATGCGTTAAAAATTAACATTAATTCCACAGATTAATCTCTTCACATTAATTTTCTTTTAGATGAGTGAATGGATTGAATTTCTAACAACTGAAAGAGAAAAAATATAAAAACAAAAGAAAATCATTTTAAAAAGAACAAAAAATAATAATATTGCATAATCAAATCATAATAGTTCAAAAAAGGAGTGGGAAGAAGTATACACTTTTAATTTTGACAGCCCTAATAAAAATGTCTCGAACCCCAGTTTGAGAACCACTGTTTTAAAGGATCGGTTTAATCTCATCTCTTGTGTCATCCAGCCAAAACGTATTCATCCAGGTTTCTCTAAGACCTCTGCCTGCACTGATGTGAACAGTGTAGCATTAAAAAAACTTAAAAACAGAAATGCGTCTTTACAGAAGAAGCGATGCCACACAGAGTCACCGAACCCTCAAGGTTCATATCATGAACTGCCTTCAACAAAAAGTCATGTGAAAGCATCACAGAGGTCACGGGGCCGTGTAAAATCCAACGGCTCCATTCCCAATACTTTTTATTGGAGCTGCGACTCTTTGAAGTTTGACCCTCGGAGCCAAATTGCATTATTTCTGCAATTCCTTCCAAACCTCCGCGAACGCTTCGTTATCACTGGATTGGATGGAGATTTGTACAGAACATCCAATAAGTCCTGAGGATATTTATCAGCTAAACAGCTGTGACTGAATGTTTTACACTAATCAAATAAATGAAAAACACACAAAGTCTTACTTGAGAAAAGAATCTCTGGTTTTGAGAAATGATTATCTCCACTAGGGTTAGTCACTGTGATTCCTACAGTCGGTTATTAGACGCACCTGCAGCATGTAATCCGGTGCAACAGCTGTGCCATAAATTCTACAAAACTTCTATATGTTCAGTTTTTGTTTGCATTGTTGAAAAAACAGTGTTGGAAAGGTGCTCATGTAAATTTGCAGAGAAGTCGAACATGACTGATTTAAAACCTTAAACGGCTTCAAACCATTGAAGAGAGGCAAGTGAGAAAACACGGTTATGATGCATTGAAACACTGAACGGCCCCTAAAACATGAATTATATGACTGTAATTAATTACTGCACTGTTCAAGCTGTCTTTTAGTATCAGTACAGTCTATGTGTTTATTTAGTAGGGAGCGTGCACATCCGTATAAAAACACAAGTTAGCTGGATTATAGCAGAACTGCTCATTTATGGTCCTTTGCAAAACTATTTAGAAGCCTTCCAAAAACATTAAGAATTTATCGTATACAGAAATAAATAAATATGAAAAAGAATATACATGGTTTCTAAATTGTCCGTAGGTGTGAATGTGAGTGTGCTTGGTTGTCTGTCTCTAAGTGTAGCCCTGTGATAGACTGGTTACCTGTCCAGGTGAACCTGCCTTCACCCTGAGTCACCTGGGATAGACTCCAGCCCCCCATGACCTTAGCGAGGGTTAAGCGGTGTATAGATAATGGATGGATGGATATACATGATTTATAATCTGTAGGTTTTTACAAGAAAGGGGGGCACATAAGGTTTACTGTGTAATACAGACAATAAGTGTCAGAGCTACTTTCTTTACTGCTGATAAACAGAACCTGCAGCGAGTTCTTATCAATTTACTACTTTTACAGTGCAGCACACCTTTATGGCTCCTGATCTCTAATTTAGCTGACACCAACAGCTAATAATGACAAAACTGAAACATCTGCTTTACATGTTCTCAGGATGTTTAAAGAGCAAAAGCGTACTGACAGTCTGAGAGCAGTATTTATAATTACTAGTGTTAGGTTACCTCAAACCTTTTGCTTTAGAAACAGCAACGGGAGACACGTGCTGTAAGCTTAGGATCCTGTTTTGTTTTTTAACAGATGTCATCTGCGACAGAAAAACTGCATGTGGTTTGTGCATGTGGCTCATACAAAACTAATTTAATGTTGTATGCTGGTTTGAATATCTATTAATGACAAAACAAAAACTCCACAGAGCAGTTAAACTTGGTTGTGCAATTTCAGCCTGCGAGTTGGATCAATCATCAGATCGTCGTAGCAAATCGGTTAAAAGAATGACTCATAAATTCTTATCCCATTCTCTGAATAACCACTTTTAGCTCGTTCGCTTAAGGTGGAAGTATAGAGATCTTATTTGTCCCTTTTCTATGAATCAGTAACCTGTTTCTCACACCTGGAATTTCATATATCTTTTCACACTTCCTCTGTTTTATCCTTTCTTTTCTTTTTTCTGTTCTGTGTTTATCGTTTATTTATTTTTTCTGCATTGCTGTAATGTTGTAAGTCATTTTCTAGCTTTGGGTTGCAGAGCCGGGCAGTAACGCTGATCCATCTTTCTATCTGTCTATCAAATCCCCACTGAGCAGCAGAGGAGCGCTCACATGTCGAGAAGCTGCATCTTTGCGTCACATGGTTGGCACCAGCCTTACAAAGCTGTTGGTAATTGCCTGTATTGTTTGCATAGTTTCTTTATCAGCTGATATTGCCGGCTGGCAGGTGATGTTTGTCGCCGCATCTGTGTTGCAATCACAACTTTGGAACTTAATGTCCCGATGCAAACTCGAGGAGCCAATCTGTTTTGATAAGATCGCAAGAATGCACCACAAAACAACACAGCTGATTTGCATGGGGAACCTTGTGCAGTAATTCAGTCACTCTAATCACAATTCTTACAGTTTGAACAGGTACCTGCTCCCTCCTGTTCACCCAGAATAATGGCTGACTTGTTCACTCCGTGTCACTCTGCCATACCTCCACTACCTGGCACACTCTTCAACTGATCATTATAGTCATCATAAACATCTGCCTTTTGCCTTTAAGCAGCTTCTTTTTTTATTTTTTGGGGGGGAATCTAATGGAGCTGCTACCACGTTCTCCTGCAGGTAGCATCCTATTGTGCATGTGACAAAAGAAGTGATTCACTCCACCAGCATATATCTTATTATGTAATTATGTAAGACTGCCTTCCAAGCTGTGTGTGTGTCTCTGTGTAAAGGCTTTATTAGGCTCCTAATCTTGTCTGTCTTACTGACATTAGCAGTTAAGAAAGCTCCAGCTTTAGGATTTATATAAATATATTTTAAAATTACATTACATACATTTTGCAATGCAGTAAAAAAATATCTTTAATCATCTGAAAACAATATTCAGCCACTCCAGTGATGCATAATGTGAATTTGGATCACATTTAATGTCATTGTGATTGTGATTATTAATCATATTCCAAATTGGTGGTGATCAAAACATGTTTCTCTGTCACTTTTAGGCCCTAATGGAGGATTTTATATGAATTACAGGCTGATTACTAAGATTTAAATGAAGACAGAAGAAGAAAACAGAGTCATTTCCATCATCCCTCACTTGTATCCACGCTGTTCTTTTCCTCAAAGTCTCGCTGCGTCAGTGTGACCCAATTTGCATAACGAAATTTTAAAACAGACGCCTGCTGCCGCGTGCTGTTCCCTTCATTGTCCAGCCACACCAGCGACACGTGCCGCTGTCGGAGGTGCGGCGGGATCTACGCATGCCCCAGCCAACCGGCGCGGCGAACGACGCCGATTGGCCGAGCGCCTCGGCCAATCACAGCGCGCCGAACGCCGCGCCGGCCAATCGCGGCTCTGTACCCGCTCTGCACGTGTAGCGTCGGCTGCGCTGTGTGGGTACTTTTTGTGCAGGTTGGAAGATCTTCGCCAAGTAAACGAAACACGAGCGGAGGCAGAAGGAAGCGGAGAGAGAGAGAGAAAGAGAGGAGGGACCGAGCGCACACCGGATAACGCCAGTCACGGCTGTGCCCGCTAACGGAGCCGTCCACTTTGTCCCAAGTTCCCACTGGAAGTAGTCTCCACATTGTTCAACTAGTTCAAACAGCGAACCGTTTTTTGGGGAGCCTGCTTCGACCGCACGGTAAGAGCTACCAGCAGCCAGCCGCAATTTATGGCTGTTTTCACACTCAGCTTGCACAATATTTTACATTTAAGAGAAGAAATCGCGACTATTTCTGACAACTTTTTATATTTATCTCCTGTTAAGATGCGCACAGGTATTACTACGAGCTCAGTGTTTCGCTAGCTAGCTGCTATGTTCACTTACATGTTGTGCCAGTCATGATAAACATGCTGTAATCAAATCACATGGCAGGCTAAACGTTTCCTATTGCTGCGCAGCTCACAACACAAAAGCACAGTCAGCTAAAGCTAGAGCGAAGCATCGCTTTGATTGTCGATTGTTTTCTCGATTAATCGATGAGTTGTTTGGTCTATAAAATGTCAGAAAATTGTCATAATGTACAGAAACCAGGAAATATTTACAGTTAGGGGGCCTGAATCACAGAATTTAGACTTTCTTTTCTTAAAAAAAAAACAAAACACAAAAACAATAATGATGATAATAGTAAAAACCCAACAACTTCAGACGAATTAATTGATTAGGTTTTGGTGTATAAAATGTCAAAGTATGAATAATGATGTCCATCTGTTCGTCAAAGCCCAAGATGACCAAAGATGTTCACTTTACTATCATGAAAAAAAAGAAAGTGAGAAATTAATCACATTTAAGAAGCTGGAATTAGAGTGTTTAGATTGTTTTTCTCAAATTGTTCAGTCTAAAAATGTCAGAAAATCATCATAACTGGAAAATATTGACATTTAGGAGGCCTGAAAGACAGAATTTAGACTTTTTATTTCTAGAAAACAACAACAAACAAACAAAAAACCAACAACCTCAGACTAGTTACTTGATTAGCTTTTGGTCTATAAAACATCAGAAAATGTCAAAAAAAAAAATGTCTATCAGTGTTCCCCAAAGCCCAACAAGAAGATTTTTAGTTTACTATTGTTAAGTAACCAGAAAATATTCACATTCAAGAGGCTGGAATCTTTCAGTTTTTACTTTATTTCTTAAAAACACAACTCCAACCGATTAATCGCTAAGTTGCTTGATCTATATAATGTTGAAAAATGTCCATCGCCGTTTCCCAGCATGATGTCCTCAGATGGCTTTTGTCCACAAACCAAACACACTGAGTTTGCTGCCACAGAGAAGTAAAAAAAAACAAAGCATTCAAATTTAAGGTGAAAAAAGGAATTTAGGAGATATTAGTAGGACAACCATGAAATCATAGTTATCTTTACTTATTAATAGGGCTCAACCTGAGGATTAATTGTTATTGTTGTTTGGTCTAAAAAGGCCAGAAAATTGTCTCAAGATGCTCAAAGATATTCAGTCTGTTGTCATAATGTGATGAAACCAGAAAATGCTGACATTTTAGAAGGTGAAATCAGAGAGTTTTTAGCTTAAAAAAGTTACTCAAACTTGTTGTTCTATCACCGTAATAGTTGACAGTTGATCGACTAATCACTGCAGCTCTGCTTAACGAACCTATAACATGCAGCCTTGGCAGCAGAAACTGTACGAGTCCTGACAAGCGTACTGCAAACAAAACTTTTTGTTGCAGGTTAATGTTTACTGTTGCTGCAGAGGTTAAAGCAGGAAACCACATCAGCTGTGTGCACATCTGTCCTCAGGTGACCCAACTACTTTCCACTGCAGCACGCACTGGTTTTGAGGACACAATGTTCTCTCAATCCCCTTACACTGAGCTTAACCATGACAATTACATGCCCAACCCTAACTCTTATCTAAACCAAATCTTAAGCCTCAAACAGCTATTTGAAGTGGTAAGGTAGAAGTGACCTCACTGGATTGCTTCTTTTCAAACTTGTCCACAGATGTGCAGAAATGCTTCACTTGCAACAGGCAAACTTTTAAGTTCTGATTAAAATGTCTTGTTTTAAGAGCGATGATTCATTTGGGCATGGCGCTGCATGAGCAGATCTTTCTCCTTGTGTGCCTCTTTCCAGAGTGATAATCTATCAAAGTTGATCATTGGCGCAGTCCTCATCATCATTATATTGTACTTGCTCAGACACGGTGAGGACATTACTCACAGCTCTTGGCAACAAGTGCATTTTTAATTTGTATAGCAGGAAACTGATAAAAGCACCGTGTTTGGGTCCTTTAGCTGGATGTTGAGACTGGTTAAGGTTTGTATTCAGGGTTTACCGTGTAATACGAGTGTAACATTACTGTGATATGAGAACAGATCAGTGTATTTCTACTTTTTAAGCCTGCATTACGTAATTAAGTACACATCTAAATAATATTGACAAGTGAAGCCTCTATGTCTATGAAGGATTTATTGTGTTGTGAAAGTAAGTGTAACAGATCACTGCAAATTTGGAAAAACATCCCCAAAAGTACAAGTACTGTGGCCTTTCATTTAGCCAGAATCACTTGGTACTAAATGCAGCAGTTCTAATAGATGTTTCTTATAAATGCTTTGACTCGTGCACCCACAGATTTTGTTTGGACTTGAGTTCTTTTCTGTATAATATTAATGTTCTATCTTTGCGTCTTCTCTCCGTCTTCACAGATGAATTCACTGGGCAATTCTTCCAAGTGGCCATCTTACGACTCACTACCCTCCACCTCCAGCTTCCTCCTCAGTGAGAGCGAGCAGACGGAGGACGAAGCAGATGTCTTCTCAGAGGGAGAGGGAGACAGCGGGACGAGAAAGTCTGTCTTGGTCGACGAGAGAATCACGCTTTCTGGGAATTACCTCGATTTCCCGCCACGTCCAGATCCGCTTCGCTCCGTGTCTAACTGTGACCAGTCTGAACTCTGCCCTGACAAAATCAAACATCCAGACTCAGCATCTTCTCCGGGAGCTGCTGCGCTGAGATCATCATCGGCGGCGACACCGGGGGACCTGGCCTTCGCTCAGAAAGTGAGCTAATAACTCGTTATTTCAGCATTTGTTAGCCAAACAGCAGATCAGTGGAAGCAGTTAAACTTATCTTTGTTCTTCTTTTTTCTTTCAGTGTGCAGACTTGCACAGGTTTACGCATCCTTTGCTTGAGCTCCTGCAAGGACTAAAGACCGGACGATTCGACAGAGGTATGTGGCTGAGCGACGTCTAACAGGATTATCATGATTTAGTACATCCCATCCCGTAGTTAAACCTTCATGCCTATTTGCATTGACGTTTGGATGGTGTGTGTTAATAGGTTTAACAAGTTTCCAGCAGAGTGTCGCCATCGACAGACTGCAGAGGATTCTCGGGATTCTGCAGAAACCAGAAATGGGGTAAGATCCTCAAAAGCATCGAGCTTAACGTTAGTGGTAGTGAACATGTTGGCAGTATCGTTATTACTGATACCCAGTGTTCCCATTAATGTGCATTCTTCTTTGTTGCAGTGAGAAATACCTTCAGAACCTGCTGCAGATAGAGATGCTGCTCAAAATGTGGTTCCCTCAGATGGCGTTCAAGTCTGCAGACGCGCCAAACGAGACCACCACTCCTAAACTTGGACCGCACTGGCGCCAAAGTCAACTCCACATGCCGGTTAAGGTGATTGTCTCACTGGATGTTACCTCTGTTACCATCTGATAGTGACGAGATATAGCGAAACACAAGTTGTTTTTTTAAATTAAACACCGTCATTCTTTGACAGTTAAAAAGGAAAAAGCAACAATGGCTGCATTCCAGATCAAATACTTGTTCTGCTTTGAGTGCGTGCTGCAGCGTATCTTAGATGCGACGTGCTGTTAGACGCAGTATAACCGGGACACACTACTTTGTTGTTGTTGCACATTGAAGCTTCTTGTTTATGTATCAGTCACTGTGAGATGAGCCTCACTGTGTGATCTCAGCTTAGGCCAGAAAAGCATGCTGGCACTACTGCCAACACAGCCAGATGTAGTCGGGCACCCTGGGGTTTCTGGCATTCTGCATTTACTTTGTTTTAGGACACACTAAATGTTTTTGCTGTTTTATGGTGGTACGGGCCTTGATATGTACCTGGTGTTACTTCAGAGATGAGGGAGAAGTGTGATATTATTTACAGACTCAAACTCCTCTGGCTAGTCGTGTCTTTCACTGCTTAGGTACCATAATTGAGTTCAACTTTGACTTTGTTGTTCAGAGTTAATATGCAACCTTGGTTTGTTATAGTTGTTATATTTAGTTTTTCCTCTCCCACTGCAGAAACGAAAACTGAGCTGGTCTGACCCTGACCGGCCTGGCAAAGCCCCAGCGAAGCATTATCACCGTCAACACGGAAAATACGGGAGCTGCCACGCTGCAACGCTGCCCGACGGTGCTTCCACGAGTCTACCCGGATCATCGAAAAAACAGAAAACTCCAGAAGAAGCAGCAACAGTGGAACCGGCCGGGGACGAGTTTACAGACGGGTCTGTCGCTTTAAGCAGGCCGTCATATTTATGTAGCAAGAGAGAAAATGAGAGTCGGAAGCAGCCTGAGATCTCTCCGCCCTCCTCGTGTGGCAGTCCAGCTACACAGGACAGCTCGGTGTCCTCAAGCAATACCATAACCACAACAGACTCACCTTAACTGGCCTTAGCTGACCTTGCTATCACATGGAGGTGCCTCGGCATAAACAGCCAGAGTGAAGGCAGAGGGCGGACCTGATTGCATAAGCATAAAGTTAGGCGCAGAGCCAATCTATGATGGCTGCAAGGCACATTAAACCCGAAGAGGAGGAGGAGGAGGAGAAGGAGGAGGAGGAGGAGGAGGAGGAAAAACAGAGAGACACTCTTTAACCCCTAACTGTCCAGCGTGGTTTTTAATAACACAGGAGTTATTGCACTATATTTACCTGGAACTGTATGTTGTTCGTAACAATTTTGTACACATCGACTTTTAAAATCTAAGTTAAAACGTGTTGGAAATACTTTACATGTGTGATCCGTTAAAGCAGTCTGTGCTCCGTTTTGTTTTGGGTTTTTTTATATCATGTAACGCAGCTCGACCAGTAACAGTATAGGATGTGATTGTTTTTGTGAGTGTGAGTTAACACAGACGATCACGACTAACGCTCAAGCGGTTCAGTCAGTTGTATGTAGGATGATATTTATTTTAAAATGCCCTAAAATCCTAATATTACCTTGTTCTTCAGTAGCTTAAGAAGGGCATTGTCACTGTTAGAGTTTAGAAACCAAACACTTAAATCATGAATTGAGAAAACCTTTGTTAGGTGCAGTTACAAAAATACTACAGTGATGAACACAGATGATTAAAAATGCCATTTGGGGAGTTAAAGTATATTTTCCAGCTGACTGATTGTAAAACACACAAGTGTGCCAAACAAAACCATTTTGCATTATCACATCTTGAGCAGCTTATTCTGTTGTCACTAAAGCACACACGTAGTATCCCTGTTTCTATTTACCCTCATTAAAAATAGATGTAGCTGCACCCAGAACACACTGCATCCTGACGGGTCGATAGTCATTGAGGTTGGTGAGGTTGGATGTTATTCCGTCAGGTGCTTCTTCATGTAGCCAGTGAGTGACTTGAAAACTTAATATTTTATTACTTTTGAGTCACTTTTTTTTTTTTTTTGTAGTAAACGGGAGATAACATATTTGAGCCTGATTCAATTTGAATTGATGCAACTGCACTTTGGATGACGATGAGGAAATGTTACACATCCAAAAAAACAACAACAACTGTGGTTTTATTTATGAAAGCAGTACTTGAAAACCTTGATTCCATCGGCAGACTCGTGGAGCCAATCGTTGCGTGTTACACCTGAGATGAGTGCTTTACAGGCGATGCTCGTCCTTTTGAGTGTGTTTAATTTGTGATCTTATTGTGGAAACTGTGCATTGAAGTAGTTTAGGCTTATTCCATGGCTTGTTATTTGTAGGAGAAGCTCCAAATGCAGCGCGTCATTACGAAGGCAAAGAACAGCGTCCGTGTCCTATTCAAAATAGCGCCGACTCGCTGTTTTAAAATGTGTAACTTAAAGTGCTTTACTATTGATTCAGAACTATCATGGAAATATGATAAAACATTCATTCCTGAACACAAAAATCTTTCTTTTTTTTTATTGCATTTGGATATTGTACCACCATAAATCTGGTATCATTCATGTTGAATGACTTTTCGTCTCTGGTGGTTTGTCACCAGTCAGCCTTACTTTATACACATAAGGGTAACCATGCGCTTGCCTGACATTACATCATACAAAAAAATAAAAATGAAGTCATGCATAATGTGTACTATTCAACCAACGATGGTAAAAAAAAAAAATCATCACTTCACCGCATACGTCATTGCAAACCAAATGTGCTGCTGTGTAGGTGTTTCTCAGGCTTCGTCAGTAGTGATTTATGAGTTATTTAAAATGTGAACTGTAAGCACAAGGCAGAGAACAATAGAGTAGCATAGTGTTGTTTTTGTCTAAAGGAAAAACTTCTCGCAGTACACGTTTGCTGTGCTGGGTTACACATTTCATTTGTGAAATAGGAGTAAAAATCTGTTTTTTGTTTTTCACAGTTTTGTGTCGTATGATTTTTCTTGTTTTTAATTTTGTTGGTTTTAGAGTGTTTCTTAAAAAAAGAAATTACCATTGCCGGTGATTGCTTGATAAATGCACATATTTTTTATATATTAAAAGATTGACATGGTTCATCCAAATACGCTTTGTTTGTTGATTTTTTTCAAAAATGAAATCGGATGGCAGTCTGAACCTGTCTGAAGTCAGTCAGCCGGGCTTCTTCATTTGAGGGTACTATTTGGAATCAGGAAAACAAAAACATATTTGGGTCAGATCTATAAGAAGACCTAGTAAAAACATGAAAATGATGGTGAACTGCCCACATGGTCAAATCAGGGCATGAAAATGGGGGAAATTCATGAAATTTGAAAATAAAGCAGATTGAAGATTAAAGAAAGTGTTATTCTTAAACTCCCAACGCCTCATAAATGACAGGAAAACTATCCTGAGTGCTTTTATCCATCATACTTTTCAAATGAGGGACTGTAGCAGGGGGTGTCTTTTTTTTAACAACTTAATTTTGGGCCATTTCTAGAGCCTTGTAGGAAGACAAATGAAGATAGTATACCAGATCTGATTATATATTCTACATTTTTGGATTCCACAGGAAAACTTAGCCCAAGATGACCAGTTTCAGAGTTCCATATGCCACACTGTAGGAGAGGCTAGATGCCAAAATGCACAAAATTAACAAGAATTTCAAAGTGCTGTAATTTCAAAACGATTACAGACGGAGACCTGATATTTGGGATTTCTTTGTACGTTCAGTATAGGAGTACCTGTGATTTACTTTCAGAGGAATCTGAGAGGTTGACTTGGGGAAACTCTGAGAATTTTGTTGATTTCATATGGAATGACCCTTTAACATGGAAAACGCCTGTGTTCCAGTCTCTTTAATTTAAGGATTTGATAGCAGCCCATAAACATTCAATGAAATTCCCAGCAGCGAGCAGAAGGCAGAGCTCTGAAACATGCTCCCAGACTATTACAAATGCAAAACCGTGCTGAGAGTCCAGAGCTCATTTTGAACTCTAGAGACTGTTAAGTTGCAGTGATGGGCCGCCCTAAATTTCAGCTCATCCTGCCTCTTGATGACGACTCAAAACCACCAGCTTCATGCTGTGTTGGTCCCAGTTGTGCCTCCAAAACAGCTCTGACCCGCCGAGGCCCAGACTCCTCAGACTCCAAGATGACAAGCATCAGATCCTTTGAAGTGCACAGTGGGGCCTCTGTGGATTGGATTTTTCCAGCACATCCCACAGATTGATTGGATTGAGATCTGGAGACTTTGGAGGCCAAACCAACACCATGTCATGTTCCTCAAACCAAAAGACTCCAGTTTACCATCAGCATGCTCCACTCTGTTGCAGCAACAGTTTTCCTCCTCAGTAGGCAGCAGAGCAGTGAACGCAGCATAAACCCCAGATGTGATGTGTGAGTGGGGCTTGTTTAACCACATGAACCAGCCAGCTCCTACACGACCTGCAACCCCCACGGTTTCACTCCCAGGTAACACAAACATCTAAAACTGTACCTGGCATGTCCAGCTGTAGCACCTGGTTGTTCCACCAGACGGAACCTCTTGCTGTTCAATACTGGAGCGACCAGTCACTCAGACTGAGGGCATAGCAGGGGTTTAGCGAGCAACAGCCACCATGACAACGACTTCTGTGATGCTTCATGACCTCCAGCCAGAGCCAAAGTGTTGAGAACAAGCTGGGTGTCCATTTATCCCACTGACATCTATAGCGGAGACACTTTTGACACCCAAATCATTTGTACGTTGATGAAACTCAAGCATCAGCACAAGATTAATTACCATTTTTATTCCACCCAAAACTGCACATAGTTTTTGTCCGTAGACTAGAAGCTGTTGGTTCGATTAAACAAGTGACCGCCGTGTTATCTGGCCATCCAGAAAAGTTAATCAAAAATAAAGGTCCTGAAAATGCAGGTGATGGTCAGCAAGCAGAAAAACAAAACTCTGCTGGCACTGGAGGACCAGCACAACTTACTGGAACAACCAGGAAACAGGAAAACACTGAAACTGGGACAGATTTAGATGACAACGCTAAAACTGTACGAAGCCACAGGCAGGAAGGTCGGAGGGAAGGAAGGTGTGGATATAAAAGACTCAGAGAAACCGCTGGACCAAGTGTGTTCCCGTCACACGGCAGAAAAAAACATTCAGTTCCCTGCTGCCTGCCTCTCAGATCAAGGTGTTCTTAGAGGAACACAGTGACATCATTAAAACACTATCAGGCTTCCTGAAGACACAACGACAGAGAGAAACAAGCCAAAAAGCACAAAAACCCAAGAAACTTAACCGTTTACTTTCTTGGAATTTCACTTCCAGCTGTTTTTGTTTTGGATGGTTCATTTGCTTAAAATTTTAACTGCTTCAGTCGTCCTTCATTCTTTATTATTTGCCTTTGTAGTATTAATATTATCTCCAGGTTTCTTGGTACCTGGGATCTTTTCTTTGGCTTTTTACTCATCTATATTACAACTGAGGTCTCTGCCTCATATATATATGAGTTAAAATTAAAATTGAAAGAATATTTCATTGTATTAAAATCAAGTTTCAATATTTTTTAATCTTTCAAGTGGCATTGGTCACTTAATTTTGTGAGTTAAATGTGCTTTAAACTTGAGGGCAGTGAACGTACAGAAACTTGAATAAAAGACAGTGTGTAAAATCAACTGTGCTTGTTGGATTTTCTTTGCAATGATTATATTTATTTTGCCAGTTATTAAAAATTCTGAGCTGCACGGTGGAGCGGTGGTTAGCACTGTTGCCTCGCAGCTAGAAGGTCGCCAGTTGGCGTCCCGGTGAGGACACCCGGGATCTTTCTGCGTGGAGTCTCCATGTTCTCCCCGTGCAGCGTGGGTTCTCTCCGGGTTCTCCAGCTTCCTCCCACAGTCCAGAAACATGCTGAGGTTAATTGGTGATTGTAAATTGTCCGTAGGTGTGAATGTGAGTGTGCTTGGTTGTCTGTCTCTAAGTGTAGCCCTGTGATAGACTGGTGACCTGTCCAGGTGAACCTGCCTTCACCCTGAGTCAGCTGGGACAGACTCCAGCCCCCCGCAACCCTAGTGAGGATTAAAGTGTAGAGATGATGAATGGATGGATGGATGGATGGATGGATTAAAAATTTGTAGAGTGTAACAAAGGCACCCATTTTTGTCCCTACCTCAATTATGACTTACAAAAAAACACCTGACACATCTAAGTTAGTGAAAGCTGGAAAGTCTCCTCAAAACCTAAACACATAGCTTTTCATTGACTTGACTAAATTTGACTTGTAAATTATAAATACTGTATTTCTACACCAAATAAATGTAATGTAGATAATTCAGAACTCAGGGGCCTGCACTGCCTCCCGATGGGCTTCAAGGAAAACAGCAGCTCATCTACCCAATGAATCACCAGTTTCACTTTGCTCATTAGACCTGTTGCACTTTGAGTTAAAATTTGATTACTAAGCTACTTACTGACAAGAATTTTTAAAATTGTTCTCCTAGAAGAGACACAACAGAGCTCGCACAGGCGCAAAGAGGTCGATCAGTTGGGTCAGTGTGCTCCCATGTAGTCTGAAGGAGAAGTCTGAACGTTTTATCATTAATGACTAGTTTGATCAAGATATTCTCTGCAGCAACAATTCATAATGATAGTAAATACGAGTTTAAAAGCACGAATGACAGGCACTCTGAATCTGGGATGTATTTGCTCAACAGTCAATAATACATATAATACGTGTAGTATGAAATAAGTGTAAAAGGGTACATCCTGTTGTGGTATTTTTTGTGTTTTTATTACACCGGCAGTGTTTGGGGGAAATTAGCGCTTGTTGCTAAGGCAACCCTGTTGGCATCGGGGCGCAGCCTCAGCGTACACCCGGAAGAGATCCTGTCCTCTGCAGTGCAGCTGGTGAACCACGCTGTGCAGCAGGATGTCAAGAGGCCCTCAATGGTGCTTCTGTAGAAGTTAACCAACAGGGGTTGTGGGAGGTGAGCCTTCTTTAACTTCCTGAGGAAGTAAGGTCTCTGTTCTGCCTTCCCCACCTGGTAGGAGATGTTCTCCGCCCAGGTGAGGTCAGCTAGAAACCTGAAGCTCTCCACCCTCTCTACCTCCTCTCCACTGATGCAGAGGGCAGAGTGCTCCGTGCGTGTGGATCGTCTGAAATCCACAACCAGTTCCTTGGTGATGAGCACAGAGTAGTGCAGAGAGACCCATCACCATGCACTGGAGATGAAGGACCCCCTCTGTCTTCAGCTGGTTGGACTTGGTGTCATTCTGCTGTCCAGTCTGACTACTGAGTTTGTCGGTTTGGTCCTTCTCAGACATGAGCTTCCTGACCACAGTGTCTACTTTGGCTTTGGTCTTGAGCAGCACATCTCTTTCCAACAGGAGGTCCTCTTTGTCCTCCACTGCCTTGTCTCTCTCCTGGAGCAGTCTCTTGTTCTTCTCCTGGAGTTGCATTATATCCTCCTTGGCATAGTCCAGCTGAGCTTCTTCTGCTCGTCTTTGCCGCAGCCGCTGCTTGGTGAGGCTTTGGAGCTCGAAGGAGAGACTCTGAATGCAATCCTCGAGTCGTTGCATATTCTCGTCCTTAACAAGATGAGCCTGAGGGGAGTCCTTCAGCAATCTTTAACCTGGTCACTCCAATCTTCAAGGCCCATAAATACTAAACCAGGTGTAACCTTTGACCTGGTCACTCCAATCTTCAATTTTCATGGTCCATTAATTCCAAACCAGGTGTAACCTTTTACCTGGGAACCACTTCAAAACCCATGATCTGGAATACCAGATACCACATATGGTTTGGCTTTTTTTTTTTTTTTTGTCTTCTTTAGTGCATTTTAATCAGTTTTCAAGCTTGCCTGCTAAGTATTTGTATTCTTTGTACTGTTTTTTAGAGAAGAATTATTTATTTCTAACACAATCATAATAATAATACATTTATAAATCACTTTTAGTCGTAAGTAATAAATAACAGCATGACAATGGAAACATAAGCAGCAGGTGGCGCTAACAACATGTTACCCTCCATGACGCTGGGTGGCGCTGTAGCCACGTCGTGTTGCGGAAGTGTACTTCATCACCTCACCAGCAGCGAGTAAACAGTCCTCCAGGATGTCGCAAGGCGCTATGTTTAAGGCGTAAATGTTAAATGATATGAAGTACTAGCTATGGTACAGAAGCTATCGGTGAGTAATTTATAAACAAAGAAAGGCGCTGGAAACGGTAAACCGAGCATTCGAGCTTTCGTAACCCCACAGTGGAAGCCGAGCGGCGGCTCAATGATGTCTGCGCTACGTTAAGCTAGCATGCTAAGCTAAATGCTAGCCGCGGCTAACTGGTGATGATAGAGCGCAGCCTGAGCTCCAAGCGGACATGGCAGCGGGAGACAGAGCCGCTTCTGGCGGCTCTCTGGAGTCTACTCTAGACAGGAAGTTTCAAAGTGTGACCAACACGATGGATTCAATTCAAGGACTGTCAAGCTGGTGCATCGACAACAAGAAGTACCACAGCGTGATCGTGCGACACTGGATGAAGTGTTTGAAGAAATGTAAGTAGCTTCACTGACAGTTGCTTCAGCTGTGGGGGTGGGCTCGAGTGAACACTGCGTTTGCCTTCCTCCAGTCCTCCCAGTGGTGATATTGGCAATGATTTGTCAACAGACTAAATATATAGATGCATAGATCTTTTGACAGATAGACACATGTTCTTTGGTAAGTTAGTTTTAGTTTTGAACTGTCGAGTATAAAACGTGTGCGCCTCCCCCATGTTGTACCGGGCTGTCAACGGAGAGAGGACTCAATGTGCGCTGACATACAGACAATCGTGTTGAAGTTGTTTCTCGCTTTACAAAATGCTTGTTTTTGGTTAATAATTCCTCCTCATTAGCTGCATGATCCTACGTTAACTATTAGCTAAGGAGGGGTACTCGGTTGCCCATCGTTACCTGCAAACAGGATTTACATCCGGGTGAAGTGTCCCGGTGGCCAACCGTCACAAATTCAATGTGTGTTTTTACTCTTCAATTACGTATAGATTAGTCAATGTACACCACTAAATTAGAAAATGTGAAGGTTTTTAACACCTTTTAGTTTATTTTCTGCTCACATTTTCTCCAGATGACAACACTGCAAGAATAGTTGTTGTTTTCAGCCTCTCTGTGCAAAAGAGCTTTAATTAAAGACTGCCTTATTTACCACAACATGTCCAGCAGAGGAGCAACTTTTCTTTCTTTCTTTATATTTACTACGTAAGTAAAAGTAACAATACCACAATGTTGAAACACTCTCTGTTAAGGTTACTCTGTGAAAAGCATGCAAGTATTTTGAGGAACATGTACAAGTAATAATAATCTTCATACAGGATGCCCCAATCATAGGTGTTCTACATAAGATAAAACTTTATTAATCTTGAGGGAAGTTTTGGGAATCTTTTTTGGTTCCCTCCCACCGTTGTCGACCGCTTGCTCAGAGGAAATCCAGCAGCAGCTTTGATATATGTTGTGAAATGTGCTGTATGACTAAAATTGAATTGAATAAACGCAGTGACTGTTCGGATAACGACAAGATGTAAGTACAGTGCATTGCTAACAATAAAAATAAGTGAGTAAGAAGCAATACTGGCGGCGACACTAAAGCACTGAACGTTGTAAAGTTAAATCTAAGTCGTTTTAAGGCCGACAGTCAGGAGAGCGTTCAATGTGTAACTTTTATAGAAAGAGATAAGTTTGCAGAGGTTGAATCAATGACCAGAAAGGGGCTGGAAGGCAGCGGAGGCTAAACCAATCTTCACTTAGAGCCCCTAAAAAGGTTAGTGTCGGTTCTTAGCTGAGGCCGAGAGCACGACTGTCTTTTAGTTGAAATAATTTCATCTTTTGAAACCGGGATGATAAATTGCTTTGTGGTCTTTTGATCGATGAATCCGTACGTTGTATGACTTCTGTTTGCACTTAGCGATTGCTGTTATTGTCTCTGCTTGTTTGGGTTTGTCTGACCGTGTGTGCGCTTCTGAGGGTTCCTGTGTGTGTGAAACAAGACGAAGGACTGATCGTAAAGTTTATTGCTGGTCTTTTGCTGAGGGAGATAGTAAGACTTGTTATGTTTATTAACAGCAGCCGGTTGTGCTTGCAGCTTGGCGTTGTCTCCTAAAACACAGTCTTCGTGTCGGCCTTGGAGGCATTTGTTTAAATACTGCTTGAGCTTTTGTTGCTCTATCTGACAATCAGTAACTTTCCAGCTTGAGCTGTTTGTATATTTGTTATAAAGTTAGTTCATAATGGCATTGAAGGGGCGCCTGGTGCTGGGATAATGAAATACTGGAAGTCCAAACTGTTTAAAACTCTTCAACACCAAAATGATAAACAGGTGCAACAGCCTGACGATTAATTGATCAGTCACACTATTTTTTATTTAGACAATTTATTAATGACAAATGCTTAGCTTTTGTTCTGTCCTGCTGCTCAGAATGTGAGATAGTTTTGTTTATTCTATCATTGCAAATTAAATCTTTTTGGGTAAACAAGTTAGTTAGGAATGTTACCGAAGTCTCTTAAGGGCCGTTTTTCTTTATTTTTTTTGAAACACCGGTTGTAATAAGCATTTGGCAGATAAATTGATAACAACCATTACAGCTAGTAGCGTGGGTAGCGTGAACCATATGCCCAGAAAACAATTAATAGGATTCAATAATGCTTTAATGAGGGTCTTCAGATATATCAATTTTCTTTGCCTCTTTTTCATTTCCTGCCAGCTGTCGGCTCACGGTTCCAGGAGTGATCTTTTCTTATTTGTTGTGTTGGTAGCAGTAGTTTTGTTTAGAAAGGTTTGTTCTGCCTGCCACCATAATAACCCAGAGAGGTGTATGTTTTAGAATAGCAGCGTGGTTTTAAATGAAATTAACATTATCAAGCGTACTCTGAAGTTTCTTGCATTTTTTTGTGACCAATACAGGAAATGTTTTTCTTTTCTTTTCTTTTTTTCTACATATGTTTTTGAAATGTTGATGATTTGATGTTCCAAAAACCATTTTTCTGTTTGTCATGTCTGAGGAGATAAGTAGTGTTGTAGACTTCAGTGCAAAGCTTGTGTGCCTGGTGCCCTTTGGCTCTTATGAAGGTGGTGAAGTTTGTCAGAACTCTGGGGTTTTTGGCTCACTTTGTTAGTCTTACAGCTGGCTATTTGTGTTTGTAGCAGTGTCTTGTAAAGTGTGTTTCAGTTAGTACACATGGAGGTGGACTGAGAAGGTCTTTAAATGCATTACAGTTTCATGAGATTTTGCTCTGCTGCTTAGATCACTGTGGCAAATGTCTGTGTAACACTAACATGCAGCAGTTGGTTTGTCTGGCGTTCATTTCCCAGTGATGCTGTTTAGTAGGAAGTAGTTTAGCAGGCAACAGAGGAAGCAACCGCTTTTGTTTTCTGCTGCTGTCACAAGGTTGCTCCTCTTCATGTTTGAGCCTTGAGTAAAAAAGGAGAATTATAGCAAGTCAGTGGGAACTTGTTTGTTCGCAGCTGTTTGTCTTTGAGTGCAAATTTAGTTGAAACCCACTGGTCAAAATTCATTGATAAAAATGCTTCTGTTAGAACAGGATAATCAGTTTGCTCCTCATCTGCTTCTTTTCCGATGTCTTGTATTGCCATGCACAATTGATTTAATTACGTCTGTGTTGCTGCTTACTGTATCTTAAAGTACTGATGAAATTATATGTCTGCAGCACAGTTTCTGAAATTGTCAAGACCTAAATTGGCAGCGATGTTTGGTTAGATTTTTAGTTTCCCTCACTAGTTTTCTTTTTATACATGCATTATGCCGTGCTAGTCAGATTAACCTCATTTGGTGAACCAGAGAAAGGGTGTTCTGGGAAGCGGTGAGTCTACTCAAGGGGGGACTGAACATATTGATTCGATGTCTTTCCCAGAAACTGGGTATCGTTTGGGCACCAGGATCAGATTCATTAAATGATACCCTTTGTGTGTGTAACCTATAAATAGGTTGATGCGTTAAAAGCTCCCTGTTTAGATCACATGAACATAACTGTGGTGACGATGTCATGGCGTGTTTCTGGTCCACTGACTGTGTATGACCTGCTCTGTTGTTGTCTTCTTTAATGAAACAAGTGAAGGAGACGTTATCAGTCATGATGTTAATAACTGATGAATGGTCACTGTTATTTATTTATGTGCTGTTTCGTTAATCAGAGAGTCTTATGATTTGTTCTTCTATTTGGATGCTTTTCACTTTGACCTTTTATAGAATAGGTGTTTTATTAGTTAATAATAAAAAAAAAAATCAATACATTGAACTGATGTTGACAGATCTGTTTAAAGAGATAAGCGTCTTCTCCGGTTATTTGGACCCAACAGGACTAACTTTCCCGTCTTTCTGCCCTCCACCAGCCGATGCCTCACACAGGCTGAACCTGGTGTACCTCGCCAACGACGTCATTCAAAACTGCAAAAGGAAAAACGCCATCGTGTACCGCACGGCGTTCGCCGAGGTGCTTCCAGAAGCCTTCTTGCTAGTTAAGTAAGTAGTTTCTAAAGATGTGGTTTTACAGAGGAGACGGTGAAATAGTCCTAATTTACTGTGCATAGGCTGCAGTGATAGATGTGTTCCTGCCCTTCCTGTGTTCCTTTTATTCCTTCTCCTTCACTGGTCCTTCCATTTAGTCTGTTGAAGCAACGACACGCCGTGCACATAAATAAAGCAGGTGCCATTATACCAAAGAGCACACATGTCTAGTGTCCCCTCTTCTTATTCTGTTATCTCCAGCTATGAAGGTGACCCCAAGGTGATTAAATCAGTGGAGAGGATACTATCCATCTGGGAGGAGAGGGCTGTGTACTCAGGGACGCTCATTTCTGATCTTAGGACTACTTTAGTGAAAGAGGAGTCCCCTCCCGAGACGCCTGTGGAGCAAAAAAGTAAGCGTGTTGATTATTTCTTTTGACATTTTTATCGATATTTCATCTCAACTTTAAACTTGCCTTCATTAAATATGGCATGTTCTTTTAGCGTTATTCCTAAATAGGGCTGTTTTTAAAATATGTGACATTTTTATTAAATTTTTTAGTATTCTCTTAAGAAACGTGAAATGTTTGGCATCCTCTCTGTTTATTCTATCTTGTTTTTGTTTTTTTTCATAGCTCCCGTTGAATCAAAAGCGGATCTACGGTCCAAGGTTGTTGCCGAGTTTGTGGTAAGTACGATGTGAAAGTTTTGAGCTGAAGTAAACCGTAGCTAAACTGCAACGTTGCCGTTTTACAAGCACAAAACTGTCCTGTTTTCGTCCTTCACTCAAATATCGCGTCACTTTGATGTTCCGACTGACTGCTCCCTCTGCTTTAGCCCCAGGCACTCATAGACCAACTGTCCAAGTACAAGAGATCTCTGGAGGAGGTTGACCTCAGAGAGAAACAGCTGGCAGCTATGAGGGTTGACATCTGCAGTTCTGATGCCCTCAAGAAACTCAAAGGTGCTTGTTTAAGTTATCCTCCACTGCCATACTCCCTTAACCTAGTGCAATACACACATGGGTATTGCCAAAGATTTTGCTGTCTTGTGTTTCTTTCTTTTTCTTGCAATCCCTTTAACTTCACCTCTACTTGCTCGGTTCTTGCAGATAAGGCAGGAGGAAAGAAGTTTTCCAAGGACTTTGAAGAAGGAAGTGCACAGCTGCAGGAGTTTGTAAAGTTCTTCGACAAACAGAGCAAGATAGGACCTCAAGTCATGGAGGCACTCAGCAACGCAGATATCTTCTACGAGATGCAGTACAAGGAGGTCAAGATCGTTGCTAATGTAAGTGATGCATGGACTGATAGTCAGGGATATATTTAGTTGTAACTGTTATCCCTCCCTAACTTCATATTATAGCTGAGTGGTTGCCTAATTTGCAGTTGTTCTTTTCATGATCACATTTTTCAGTCACTGCTTGCTCATAACATGCACCTTGAAGCGGTAAATACAGCCGTGACTCGATAATCCGACACGAAATGTAAAATCTTCTTTTGTGTCGGATAGCAAGGCTGTTTGGATTGTCAAGACGGAGGTCGAGATACGAGGAGGGCTTGATGCTGGAAGGCTCATTAGTTGTTAATTATTGTTCATAGTTGTTATAATAACTAGTGTATTGTTAGAACACTACGCATCGCTGGATTTCAGCCTAACTGACCAGTGCTCTTGTGCACGGTCCGGACACTTCCACCCCGGGGGAGCGCTCTGACGGGATGGAAGTGTCCACAACACACAGGCAGTACTTGGCTGCTGATGCTAGTTTAGTTAGCGCTCACACTTCTGTTTCCACCATCGGTGGCGACGGGGGAGTGGCAGATACGCTCCACTGTTACCATCCATGTTTACTTCCGTAAACACTGAGCACGCTCGCTACGTGTGACGTCGTCGTGTCCTCTTCTGCGCATGCGGGACACTTTTGGGTCGTATGAAGTTCACACAGCAGATCACATACAAGTCGCATTTAACTGGAAATGTGAAGGAACTCACAAAGAAATCCTCATTGAGCATCAAGTCCTGCAGTGGGAACGTAGCCAATCTGTGGGATTGTTCAGTCAGATAATACGCCGTTATCCTGATTGGTGACATTAAATGTCATGTCGGAGTCAGAATCCAAGGCTGTCGGTACGTTAAGGCTGTTTTTATGGGTTCTGTTCGTTTTTCCTAAAAACCTGTCGGATAGCAAGGTTTAGGATTGTGAAGGGTCGATTATCGAGTCACGACTGTAGAAAAATAAAACCTAATTGTATTGACTCTTGTTTTTAAACTAATGTCCTCTGTTTTATGACCCTATACATATCAATTTAGTTTATGTAAAGAATGTGTAAAATGAACTCAGTGTACAGTACACTCTATAATATACACACAGTCACCGTACATGAAATAGATTCACATTTAAAGTCTGTGTAAAGCAGGAACAGATGTGTTCTGAGTCTATAGGAAACTGTGTTTTTCATCATCAGGCCAAATGTAAATGATTGAAGAATTCGTGGGGGTGTGTCCACTGACTGGTAGCTTTAAGTAACAGAGATAAGTGAGGAGGCTGAGCTGTTGTGCAAATTTTGCCATCCAGAGAAGATGCAATCGCTATTGAGCAAACTGTTGTAGGAGGAGTAACTCTCAACCGAGTGGGAGAATAACTGATGCTAATTTACTCTAGTTTTGATAATGTACATGTTTATTGGAGGGATCATGCAAAGTGTGGCTCCAGTGCTTCATCGAGCCATCATTTCTGACCCGCCAAGAACATCCTTAAGATTATGAATAATAGTTTAATGTAGCTCAACAATCAAGTGCTGCACAGTTTAGTCTTTCCACATTATTCACATGAAACCAATATTTTCTGACGTGTAGGATGTGTTCAGAAACAAATCTCTGAATGTCCTTTACATGGACTGTGACTGAAATGACACTAAAATACATAATGTAGGGAATATATAGACAAAACAATTAACATTTGTGGACTTGTAGCTGCTATGAGAGTTCCTAGTTTCATGTATTAAAACTCTTTTACGTCTCCTCGCAAGGCCTACCAAACGTTTGCCAACCGGGTGTCCCACCTCAAGCGTAAGCTGGACTCCCTGAAATCCAACCTACCAGACCTGGACGAGTCCCCCATCCCCTCCCCCTCCGCAGACGCACCATCTCCAACGGGCTCAGAGTCTCCTTTTCACGGTCTGGATATGGCCCACCCCGATCCAGATCTTGATGGCTCTGCTATGGATGATGAGGCAGAGCCGCCGGCCCCGAGCCCGCTGTCCTCCCCGGGAGGATCCCCCAGAGACCCAGAGGTTCTCGGGGAGAATGACAATCGCCAAGTGGAGGACATGGAGCTCTCAGAGGAGGAAATGGACAGCGGTGGTATCATAGGTAAGGAGGGGCATTGTGGTTTGGGTACAGGGGCTACTTTTTAAGTGCTATATTAAAAGACATTTGAGATTATTCTTTTAAAATGTGTTGGAAAAAAATTAAAATTGACAAGTGAAGTCAGTGAATTAGGCAGAAAATCACACAAACCTTTCATGGCGGTCATCTCTAATTGGTTAAAACAAGTCATTTATCATATCTACATTTCAAAAAGCCTTTTTTCAAAATGTATTTAAGAAAGTGGATGTAAAACTGCATAATATATACGATGATTGCAGATGATGACATTTGGAGCTTTGTGCTTCGGTTTAGTTTTTTTTGTGGAAAGTTGATAAGACTGTTAGTATTGATTTGTTGTTGTACTTCGGGGAGCAGCTCAGCTGATATCAGACAGACTCCGTTTCCATCTCCAGTCTGACATTGCCTCCGTTCGAACTGATTTCCACGGAGGCAGGGATTTGATTTTCCCTAACCAATGAGACAAACGATTTTCCTCAATAAAACGTCATTTTAAGTCGACATCAGAGTGTAGCCATGCCAACGTGCTGGAGTTGTAAGAGTGAAGATGAAAACAAACTACAGTGTTGGGCGATGTTGAGCATATGTGTTGTTCATTTGGAATTAATGTGTTCTTGAAGGGGATCCTATCAGCAGCTCAAACTATCGTCATCGTCTGGTGTTTCTCCTCCTTGATTCTGTCACAAAACCTGGCAAACGGTTAAAAAAAAGACTTTGACAAAATATTTGATGAACCATCTGTCTGTCAATCTTTGTTAAAGGACAGTTCATGCTTTCTGCATATAGTCCACGAGGGTCTGTATGTAGTTAAAAATGTGTGACTGCACTACAAGCATGCAGACTGTGCATGTGGTGCCTAAAACAAACAAAACAAGTGGGGCTAAAACAAATGTTTGTTCTGAGGAGTATATGGACACATCTCCGTCACCTACACCTCTTAGAATTTATCATTAACAGAGTAGTAACTGAAGTAGCCGCTACTGGACTTTGGAGGTGCTTGTATTTGCACATGCTGTCCATCGACAGAAACCCAAACACAGCAGGAAGTCCTCATGTCTCCAGAAATCCTGGGCTATGTTCAGACACTGCGCCTTGCATACTCCAGGAATAATCACTGATGTGGTGCTACAACGCCATCTTTGAGCTAACAAAGTCAGGGGGAGCACTAACGACTCACATAACGAGGAGGAGGAGCAACAAACCCCCAATTGAAACTCAGGTGTTAATGGCTCCTTAAGGATATCAGTATGTGGAACTCCCAACTAGTCAGTCAGAGCTGATGAAGCCTCTTGGATGAGAGGTGGAACGTCTTCAAGGAACTCAAGCAGGTCCAGTTGCTACAATTAATCTACCAGAACAACCATGACCTGGATGACTGAGAATCTTCACAGACATAATCTTTGAGTGTTTTTGTGTGTTTTTCTCAGTTACATATGAGAGGAACTGGCTTTGTAGCAGACTGCCGTGGCCCTGTTGTAGTACGAGCAGAGCTATGTCTGCTGCCGCAGCAGGACCTGGCCATTACTCACGCATGAAACATACTAATAGCTGCCAGTAGTTCCTCAAAAGCCACTGATTGGTGCTATCATCCACAAGCGCATAGCTTAAAGCCTCGCAAATTGGATTCTGGAGTGATCTCATAAGAATCCAGCTGCCTTGCAAGGTTACATAAAGTATTGTGATGAGCTACCTGATTTCATCTTTGGTTTTGTAGGTATTTGCATAGCCCACCCTCGCTCTGTCACAAAGAGGTGGCAGAGTGTAAATGCAGTCGCGTAGGTGATTGCATTGTTATCACATACAAAACATCCATCTGTGGCGGCGGCGGTGAAATCTAACACCTGCCATGTCGCTGATGTTCTTTATTCATGGTTCGCTGTGAATACCTGCTGTGTCAACGATACAGTAAATCTAGCTTTGCAACTCACAAAATCCCTCATGTACGACTGCGTGAGTGTTTTCTGCAGCACGTCACATTTACACTTGTGGAAAACCAGCAAAAAAAACAATTGTGTGACATAAAACAGTTGCTTTTTATGTGTCCTTGCATAGACTGCCCATCCAGACTCTCTCTCACTGCTGTCGCTGCCATATTTTTGTCCTCAGTTGAGGAGCAGAGTAAATCCGTCCCCCACCCCGAGGTGTCCACTGCAATCCCTGCAAAAAGTGAGCCATCGGTAGCAGCAGCGCAGCTCGTCACGCAGGCCACGCCCCCCGTAGCCGCTCCTGCAGCCGCTGTGGAGAATGTTGACATGGGTAAAATTGGCTCCATCCTCAACAGTTTAAGCTCCGTGATGAAGAACACAGGTGAGTGCTGGAGGCCGTTCTGTATTACTTAAGTCTGAACTGCTCTGATGCTGTCCTAACCACACAGCTGTGCCTCTTTGTGACGTCAAATGTCAGGCTGTTCAAGTGCACTCTGTGTGTTGACGTCTGCTATGAAAGAATTACCTTTTATCATGTGTGGTTGGAACTATAATATCTGTGTGGCATAGAAGTGAATAAATCTCGATTTTGCCTTTGTTTGGTCACGTAAAAAGCTTTTTCCTGTATATGAATGTGGCTTAAGTTCCAGCATCCTCCTGTAATAGTTTCTTTAAAATTTCCAAATGCAGTCATTTATCTTGAAGACTATTTGCTGGATGAGGATTTATAGTAGAAGCGATTTCCCCACTTTGTCTTGCAGGACCATCAGTGGAAAGTCCTCCTGCAGCTGCCCCTGCCAGGTCCTCAGTGAAGACCACACCTGCTGCCCCTGTGGCCTCACAGGATGCCAGCTCACTGGTAAACCTCCTCTCCAAGGTGGATGTCAGTCCTGCAGATCTCCTCAGTGCTCTGTCCAAAGTCCAGGGCCAAGGCAGCCTCGATGGTGAGAATAAGGAGTCATTAGCTTCACTTCAAAACAAAAACTTCCCTTCATATCATACTCTGAAAGCAGCACACCTGCTTAAATTACATTTGTGTTTTCTTTTTTTCGTGACTTAGGCATCACTTCTCTTCTGGGCAGCTCGACTGCAAATGTCGCCCCAGACATCTCCTCCTCCAGCACAGGCGCGATTACTCCCTCTCCGTCATCTACATCTACATCTGCATCAGCAGTGCCCTCTCAGAGCCAGTCTTTCCCCTTTGTTGCACCTGTGCCTTCTTCATCCAGCTCTACTGCGAGGCAGAGCTCAAGTATCCAAGAACCCCCTCAGACCTCCACCCCAGCCTCTGCCCTGGTCCAGGCTCTTCACAGAGACATGGACTTGACAGCAGAGACAGAGCCGTCTTCGTCCTCTACGAGCTTAGAGTCTAAGATCCATAGCTTCCTGCAGGGCAACCCTGCTTTCAGTGCATTCGACCTGGGTTTCTCTTCAAACCCAGCTGTGGGAGCAGATAATCTGAGCCCAGCAACTGGCACTGACACCCAAGATGGGACCCCAGTGCGGGATGAGGGAGGAGGCACCCCAACTCAAGATGAGATCATGGACAAACCAGCATTGTTCCCATTCGCTTCCAACACAAATCCGTCATCTGTTGGTAAAGCTGCAAAAACAGTTCCTATTGCATTCAAAAATAGCACCCAGCGGAACCCCAACAATCCCCAACAGCAACCTCACATGCAGCCAGGTGTGGCTCAGAATGGACAGGTCTACCAGCCGTACCCGTACGGCAAACAGGAGATGTCAGAACACAGGAGTGCTGCACCTGTTGCGCATTACCAGCAGATGTCTGCACAAACAGGAGGGCCGGTGCCTGGAGAAAGAGCCCCAGGCAGTGCCGGCAGCACACAGACAGCTGAGGGCTTTCAGGGGGGGAGTGAAAGGAGCTGGTACAGGGACACTTACCCAGAGGGGAGCTCTCAGCAGCCCAGCAGCTACAATATGACAGTGCCTGGAGGGCCTATAGAAAACAAGACACCAGGACTTTATCCATATCAAGCTGAGCGAACTCAGGAACCTCAAGAGTTTGTGTCCGAGCAGGGTTCCTCCACAAACCCTGCTTTCTTCAGAAACAACCTTCCTCCTGTCCCAAGGTTACCTCCCCCTCCTCATCTTTTTGATGGCCCTCCTTCCTCGATGGGTCCTCCTGGGCAGCAGCCAGGTCCTGGTGCTGACATGGGGGAGGTGTTTGGTGGCAGAGTTGACAGTGTCATCAGTGGAATGGTGGTCCATGACCACCAACACAAGTCATCGTTTCATCCGGCTGATCGGCCGTATGACATTGACCAGCATCGGCCGCGGCACCCTGAGGACCTGCGTTTCCAGGAGGACCACAGCGGTTACCACGATGAGCTCCGCCCACACGATGCCCCTTTCCAACAGGGCAATCCCTACCGTGATGAATCATATCACAGACCAGGCAGTCCTCCACACCACTACCCCATGGTCCGGGGGCGCCTCACTCCTCCATGCTCACCCTCAGAGGACCCTTTCTATGCCCAGCGGCACAGCCCCCCTCCTCCACACTACACTCCAAGGAGACCACCACCACCACGCCATGAAATCCGTCATCCTGGTCTGCGACCGCCACATCGGCCTCCCCACCCAGCACACCACCCACACCCCCCACACCCCCGAGGGCCGCCGCGCCCGCCGTTTCCTCGGTTCCGCGGCCCCAGTCCGATGTTAAGAGGCAAGCGTCTAGGTCCGGGTCCAGGTCCAGGCCCAGGCCCAGGCCCAGGTCCAGGTCCGGGTCCAAGAGGAGGGGGTCCAATGTTTCCCCCGAAAAGACCCTTTCTCCCCCCACGATACTGACTGACTGACCGGACATGTAGCTTTGACCTCTTTAATGTCATGAAGAAAGACTGTTGTTGAGGTCCGCATGCTGCCATGAGAAGTTCCTGAACAGCTGAGAACGTGGGTGGATGAAAGTTCAGGTGAGGAGGTGGGTGAAGACAAAGTTTTACTGACGAGGAATTAATTCACCAGCTACCAGAAGAAAACCGTAAATGGCGAAGAACGGAGGATGTGCAGAGGGGTGAAGAGAGACAACAGCAAGAGACATAAAGCAGGCGGAGGCTCTGAGAGGGCTGCTGAACTGAAGAGTGAAGAAAGAAGATTAAAGAAAATAAGAGGTGGATATATATAATTCACTTTTTGTGTTATTTGCTTCCAGTATGAAGCATTGCATTAAATATGTAATTGAGCGTCAGTTTGCTACAGGTCAGAGCGTGTGCATGGTATGCGTGTGTGCATGCAGTCGAGTCAACTAGTCGTTCATTTTTGTTTTTCAATCCGAAGATAGTTATTTTTGCTAAGAGAGCAACAGAAGAATGTAGTTGGTGCAATGTTTCTGCTATGATTTAGTTTATCAGTGAGCAGTTCTAACTGCTGCTCTTCCCATATCAGCAGCTCCCAGTAGCTTTTGTTAAAACACCGATTAAATCTCACTCTGGGATCGACAAACTGAGTGTTATGTTCGAGAATTTCTGTTTCCCTCCACAAACACACGCAGGCATATTTTGGGGAAGTTATTTCTCATTGCTCCGAATGTTCAATCTGTGAAGGGACGCTTCCTCCACCAGTGCGCAAGAAGCCTTCGGCGATAGTTCCACGTCTCGTTTAGTTCCTTGAAGAAAAACGTCACAAGTCTAGACAGAGGGAGAGAGAAAGAGATAGAGGTGTGGGTTCTATTTTTTCAGCCTCCGAGGCCGACGCAGAAGAAGTACTTTTCTTGGAGGGGATGAAGATGGTCGACATCAGTTTCGTTTATTTGTACTGACTAATAAAGATCTGAGTTTGAAAACTGTGTTGCTGTTTTTTTCCTACCCTGTGACCACCGTCCTGAACTATCATCTCTACATCACTGTCGAATACTTTAACCAGAGAAACTGCCACTAAAAAGTACATAACAGAATATCGGGTGTTTTTGTGTAGTGACGGTTTGTAAGTTGTTTTAATACTGTCAAAAATGGTTTCTTAAAATGTAATCGTAAGAAGTACCCGTTCCAATTAGGGAACAAAACAGGTGGTACCTAACTTTATGCTCAAAAAGTGAAAACAAAAATCCAACTTGGGTCCATTTATGGTATTGAAATAATAGATAACTGAATAAAACGCATTGTGTTCTTTTAAATTAAGGTACTTTTTTTGCAGAAACCCTCCAAAAAATCTTTCATTTCAAAATAAAACGACAAATTTTGACAGTTTGAATTGAAGTCATCAAAACAGATTTTCTATCCTCTAAATTAAGACGGACTTTGGCATTTAAACTTTGGATCTATAAAACTGTTCACGCTGAGGTTGCACACTTCAACCTGTGTGCACATTCTTCTTCTTTACTATTAGTGCATTCGTTTAATTGATTGCCAGATCTCCCAGTGGGTCCTAAAACTCTGTATAGGGTGTTTAGTTTAATGGTAGTTTTTGATCTTTACAATAATAGTAGGGCAGAGGTCTCCAACTGGCCTTGGAGCAAAGCTGAATTTGGAGGCGATTATTCTTAATTTTCCACCGATTATGTTTTAAACCGGTCCAGAGTTGAAAGTACTTACTGCAGTTTACCTTCTTAAAAGTACAAATTGTTCCTTATAGCAGTTAAAAATCTGTCAGATGTGTTTATCGGAGGCCTTACAGGCTGAAGTTGGGCTGATAAACACGTTTAGAGTAAAGGATTCATTATTCCTCTTTGTAAAATAGATGTTTTCGCTCCCTCGTGGCAGGTGTAAGACATTCTGACTCTGCAAATTTAATGGAAAAAGGGGCCCGAATTGATCTGAGGCCAAACCGACTGCACACAGGGAACCAGTTAGAGAGACAAATTAGTAATCAGTGGGATTGATAAGGCGGTTAGAAAACAAGCAGCCAAAGTCCTACTTCACTGATTCAGTTGCGAAAAAAAGTTTTAGTTACTGCATTAATTAAAGCGTCACATTAACCCAGTTATGCCAAGTGAATCTTATGCAGTGTTTTAAAAACTTTATTTCTGATAGTGCAGGAGCAAATGACAAACCTGAAAGTGTTTTTTTTTTTTGTCGCTCCACATTAATGCGCATTCATTCGGATCTGCTTTAATTAACGCGGTGGGTTTGGGGTTTTTTTTGAGGGGGAATTAGTATCGATTTTAACGAGAATTAAACGTTTTAATCGTTTTCCTCGCGTGTCTCTGCAAAAAAAACAAATCGGCGTTACACGAAACAATTAAAAGAAAGCTAGGAGTCGCGGGTTTATTCTGCGTTTTCGTGCGTAAAAAGATAAAATGTTGAGGCGAGCCGACCGTCGCCAGATGTCAGTAGATCTTTCACTTTATTATGCTGCTGCTTTTGTCAGAGGAGGAGCAGCCACAAACATGAAAAATTAAATAAATAACTGAATTATGTAACATTTGTCTTCCTTTATATTCTGGACGCTTTCGCGTTTGGCGTCAATGCCCGTTTTTTTACGCACAGACCTGACGCGCGCATTGTGCGTTTAATCACATGGAAAAAGTGAGAATATAATGTTTATTGAGTTGCACATTTCTTTTCTCTCGCTCGCTCCCTTGAATTCTAACCTATTTCTCGTTTCATCCCCTCCCTCCTTTGCTCCTGTTTTCATCCTCAGGGATCCACGGCTACACTTTGATGTGATGGAAACCTTTCCCCCCTCTCCAACACGTTAACTGATGGAGGTGGGGGGTTGATGCTGTGGTGGCTTCTCCTCTTTGAATCCTGCGCAGCTCCCAGTGATGGCTCTTCATGGTCTGTTATGGATGCTGTGCGCCGCAGCAGCTGAGTAAGCTCGCAGTTTAATACATCAGAAAACTAAGTGCCACCTGCAGGAAATCAAAACAATCGATGCAGACTGGGAGGAGGAGGAGGGGGGAAATAAAAAAAACGCTGAGAATGTTTCTTTCTCTTTCTCTATTTGTGTGTGTGTTCAGTTGTGGGTTTGAGAGGAGAACACAGGAGAACTGGAAGGTTCCACAAAGAGGCCCGTGTGAGTAAGTACAGCCAGGATTAACATGCCGTTAATCCATCAAATTACTCATATTTGTGCCAAATTTAGGTTTATAGTGATTTTTTTTATTGGGCCAGAAGGTTTCTTCTGACTGGAAACAACATAAACAAGTGACTAAATTGTGTTGGAATTGTGTTTTGTTTACTTTTACCAAAAATGCAAAGTTATTCACAATCCTGGAAATTGTTGAAAATTTCCAAAATTCCCAAAACGTCCTTGTGATTTCTCACGTTCCAGAGCATTTACGTGAACTGTAAACCGAGAACAGCTGCTTTAGTAGTTTTCTAGTCAGTCATTGCAAGTCACGGTTCAAACCAAAAAGCTCAGTGAGGATCTTTTCTCACAAGACAAGCTAAATCCCAGTGTTTTTAAGTGTTAACGGCCACTGTGCAAGGCGAAATCTCAAAGTACGAGGAGTTCCACGCTGAAAAATCTCAGAGGGTGTAGTAGGAAGCCAAAAGGGACCCACGTGCCGGCAAAATTGATGGAAGAAAAATCCAAGGATCACCACCAAGGCCATCGTGATGAATCTGAGCAGCCCTGGTAGCAACGTCTCATGACAGACACTAAATATGGTTGGTCTCTGGGGAGGTTTTCCAAGGAGGACTCCACTTCTCCGAGACAGACTAACAAGAGCTCACCTGGGCAAAGAAGAAAACGGCTTTGGGTCATCAATTCTGTGGTTAGATGAGATGAAAACGGGCGAAAGAAAGAAGAAGCATTCAACTCCAAGAGGACCGTCTGCACGGTCCAAGCACGGTGGTGGCATTGTCATGTGTTGACAATATTAAGATCCTGGAGGAAAACATCAGGCAGTTTGCAGAGAAACTTTTAGGCAGCGTTGAACCTTACAGCTGAAGTGAAGAAATAGTTAAGAGAACATCAACATTTTGGAGTCCAGACCTGAATCCATCTGTTGAGGGAGCTGAAGACCAGAGTGATGACAACCAGGATTCCCAATTAAAAAAAACAAAGCAAAACATCTGTGACACAATATCTTTTTTACTTGTTTGTGTGATTTCCAGCCTATTAGTTAAATTTAAAAAATCACTATAAATCTAAAATTTTGGGTTTAACTGTTTAGTTTCTCTCTCCTCACATTGCTGCTTTCAACACATCTGGGTATTCACATACCTCCAGTATGGAAAAATGTCAATCACGTGATTGATTTTGTTAAATAAAGTATTTTTACTCATATGAAAAACAAAAAACTGTGTCCTTGTGTGTTTATTTATTTATTTGGAGCATCTTCCATCAACCCATGGACCCTGTAGAAAGGAATTATTCCCATTAGGTCAGTTTTCATGCACATTTGAGACAAAGGTTGTTTGTTTTTTTTCCCGCCTAATAAGGATTCCTCAACCCACACAGGAGTTCTTGGGTTGACATCAAAATGCTGCAAATCAACCAAGACAAAACCAGGTAATAGAATATCCAAGGTTTTTTTTTTTTCTTTTTGGATGGAAAGAACTTTTTAAATCACTTTTTAAATATATATATATATATATGGCAGCAGTGTGTCCTAAACTGTTTTATTTTATTTTTTATTAATCTTTTTAAATTGGGAATACAATAGTGGACAGATAAGATATTACACATATTGTTTCCCCTCTTAATAGTAAAATAAACCCAGGGCCCACAAAAGGAGGCCAAACAACCAGAACAATAAACTTTTATATTTTAAGAGATGAGCTGAAATCCTGTTAACTGGATCAACACATTTCAACTTGTCTTATGAAAATAAGAGTTTAATTAGCAATTTAAAGCAATGCATGAGTTTATAAGAGTGCTCAACTGTGTGCAAAGTAGTGAAAATGATCCATCTTTGTGCCATTTGGAGAAGTAAAATGCTGCTTATACTTTATTACATCTGTAGTTTGAAATGAATAATCGGATCTATATGGAGCACTATGAGCTGAGAGTAATTTCCTAAAGATTTTAATATAGGTGCTTTTAAAAAATAAATGTTTAGTGAAGCCCATTAGAAAGTAAACAGCCTTCATGTGTCACCAGATGTCGTTGTTGGTTGCATTCTGAGGGAGGAGGAGGAGGAGGAGGAGGAGAAGGAGGGGAAGCCATCCATTGTGAAAATGACACAAATCACGTTTCCCCCTAAACATCCATTTCTACCTGATCGACGCCAGATGCATCGCCTCGCCTGCTCTGGGGGGCTCGTGTTGGGGCTTGTGTTGGGGCTTGGAGGGTGGAGGGCAGGATAGGATTTAGCGGCCGATGGCAGATGGCAGCCTTAAACACGAGGGACGAGCCGAGGAGAGGCGCTCGGCTGATGGGGGGGGGGGGGGCATAGAGGTATTAATGGAGAGATCTGCACCCAGAGGTTTCCAATGAGCAACTAGAAATGCCTCTGCCGTCGCTTCAGCAGCAGCGTCTCCAAAAATCGTGACTCCTTTGAAGTGCGGCCGTGTGCGCATGTCGGGTGTGTGCAGCCTGCTGTCATGTGGGCTCATTGTTTACATGCTGCCGAGATTTCAGGGAGGGCGTGTGTGCGTCCTGTCAAATAGCTCGACCAACACTTTAATGCAAACCGTGACTTTTTTTTTTAACCCCCTCACACACACATACACACACTCCGAGGGGTTATTACATCGTGTCCCCGATCATGTGTCATGAGTTGAGGAGATAGATTTCAGGACCACGGCCAGCTCCACGGCGAGAACAAAAGGCGGATTTGCAGCGCTTGATGTCAGGGACCGTCGCCTTTTTCACCCTCCACGTAAAAAACGAAAAAAAAGCCTCAGAGCTGACATCTGCTGCCTGCTTTGTCCTCCATTTTTGTTCATCTATCTTCTTAAGATTAAAAAAGAAAAAAGCCCCTTTTACGTGATATGGTGCTTTTATTCAAAGCGCATGTTCCGGCATGATTTTAATGTTTGTATACTTGATGGGATAAGATAAAGCTTTATTAATCCTGAAGGATGTTTTACGTAAGGCCCAGTAAAAAAATGCAATAAATGTGATGCCTTACTGAAGATATGATAAGCTTGCATAATGCTGCAGAATAGAAAAGTAAGAAGTAATACTGACAATGATGCCGAGGTAGTACAGTAATATCACACATGATAATAAAATATCGCACATGAAATCAGAATACTGCATGTGTAAATTGAAATATTGCAAGAAGAACGTTCCACCGTTTTTAATATATCACATTACAAGAGCATCTTTTAAAAATCACCCGAGGCCTGGAAAACGTTTTTTTAAATTTCATCCTTCGTTATAATAGAACATAATGTATGTTCCTGACAACATCCTCTGAATGTTATATTAACTAATATAAACATCTCTTAAAGGTAAGACCAGCTGCTGCTGTCTCTCTGATGCGTTTGCACCTTTTATATTCTGTTGTAGTTTTATATAAATGTTTATATTGCACTTAATTCCAACGTTCTGTTTGTCTCGTTAATCATCTCAAATGTGTTCATGCCTTATGGGAGAACTGAACAAATGTCATTACATCGTTGTCTGACCTCAGTATAATGACAGTAAAGCTACAGCTACCTTTATCAACCCCACAGTGGAGAAGGAGGGTTTAGTTCAAGATGACATTGTGACTGTCTTTTTTTTTTTTATTTTAAAGATTTGTGCCTTTGTATGATGTTTTATTGTTACTGCACAGCTTCGAGAACAGTCACTTTGCATTTCACGGCACATACTGTACAACCATGTGACAAATACTCAAGGGGATATTGCAAATAAAGTCCAAAAAAATACACACAGGATTCTTCCTGATGTGGAGATTCAGGTATTGCAGATTCCTTTGGATGTGGACGATAACGTTGTTGACAGAAGTACTGATGTTCCCCAGAATCTCAGACATGTCAGGTCAGGTCAGGTTGGGCAGCAGGCGTAAGAACACATCGACGACTGTTTGTCTGTATGCCGGAGGGTCTGTGTCGCAACCTCCCAGGCCAATTCCCAGGTCAGCGTCAGCCTCTGGAAATGTAGTCCGGGAGTCCCAGGGTCACAAAAGCGCGACCCGTTGCTGAAGTGACGGAGTTGGTGATTCTGACTGATGCAGGAGATGTGCGCTGTTCGGGTCTCGCCACGTAGTCATTCATTAGACTCGAAGTCATGCCAGCGATAGCCCGAGATCTTTGTAAGGCACGTAGTACCGAAGGAGTCAAGTCAGCGTCACGATCTATCATAATATAAATGAGAAAATTTGCGATAACGATATAATTGACACTTGACAAAACACTTAAAAACTGCACAACTTTATTGGTGCAAATGAAAAAAAAGAACAATTTCTTTTCCATTTAGCAAGCAGCTTTTTTTGATGTGCATTAAATATAAATAAATAAATACTTGGATCGACGGGGTGGAAGTGGGCAAGACACACAGACAGTACTAATGCCAGTTTAGTAGGATAGGGGTCACACTTCTGTTTCTACCATCGGGTGGTGGGCGAATTTTCAGATCTCAAAATTGCTATCCTGACTCCACCACAATATTCCAATATCCGGTCGATGCACTGCATTCGTCCTCCTCCTCAGTCGCTGCCATGCTTCTCGTGCCATGTGCATTAGACCAGACGAAAACAACAGCACTGCACGTTTCACTCAAATGTTATCACAATATTTCAATTTCACATCCCCTAGCATTACACCGGTTATTACTGGTATGATACGGCCCAGCCCTAGGGCAGATATATGTAGAAAATGATCTTGCACATGTTTTTATATATGTAAAATATTCCTAATTAAACAAGAAGGTCGCTGGTTCGCGTCCCGGTGAGGACGCCCGGGATCGTCCTGTGTAGAGTCTCAATGTTCTCCCCATGCAGCGTGGGTTCTCTCCGGGTTCTCCGGCTTCCTCCCACAATCCAGAAACATGTTGAGGTTAATTGGGGATTTTAAATTGGGCGTAGGTGTTAAAGTGAGTGTGCTTGGTTGTCTGTCTTGGTTGCCTTCGCCCTGAGTCAGCTGGGATAGACTCCAGCCTCTGCTCGACCCCAGTGAGGATAAAGTATAGATAATGAATGGATTCATAATAAACAATGTTCTTTAAAACATATATTCATAAAAAAAACTTGTATGTAACATTCTGTGCCAGCTGTGTTGCTTTTTTTTTCTTCTCTCCTCCACTTTCTGCGGCTGTCAGCGGGGCCGGGACTTTGCGGACGGTCCCTGGCGGCAGACATCACGGCTCACGGCGCCCAGGGGAGGGATGGAGCGGAGATGGACAGGGAGGGAGACACCGGCTTACGACGTCAAAGGAGTACAGACACACACACACAGGCGGAGAGGAGAGAGGACAGCCAGCCAGACTGCCAATTCCCCACGGTCTACTGAAGGAAGCCTCAATATTCATCTATCACTACACTGTGCGCGCGTCCGAACCAGTAAGAGAGCTGTTTATTTTTATTTTTTTAATACCACGTTTATTTGAAGAAGAAGAAGAGAAAAAAAAACGGCGTTGGGGAAGAGCAAAGGGGGAGGGAGAGAGGAAAAAAAAAAAAAAACAAGATCTGTGGAAAAAAAAAAAAAAGAAGCTCGCTCATGCCGAATAAAGGACCGAGGCTGGATGTTAGTTGTGTTGTTTTAAGGGGGGAGCAGGCCTAACTTATCACAACACACACACATGAACTGAGTGGTTGAGCTCTAATAACTAAATAACAGCGGAGGGAAGAAGAAGAAGAAGAATCATCTCCACACATCACGCCGATTCTCCTCCACGAACAGCACCACAGGTATTATTCCCCCTTTAACTCTTTGCTGTTGTTGTTGTTGTTGTTGTGGGTTTTTTGTTTTGTTTTTCTCGCTCAGATTGTGTGAAATCGTGCTCGGGTCATTGTTGTTGTCACCAGTGTCTTGACAAAGAGAGCGCAGGTCTCCAGCTGTGTTGACACACACTGTCATGGTCTCGGAAACAGGCGGCCTAGACACGAAGCGAAGGGAGATTGTGTTTACTAGGATTTACTACGACACCACATGGATTTATTTGATTAGAAATTACTGTTTAAATGCGAGAAAAAACGCCATTATACCTCATCTGATGTGATCCACGGTGGAGAATGTGACGCCCAATATGTGAAAGTTCAATTTTTACTCTTTAATTCATGTCATTTTCTGCATTTGTATGAACAATGCAATAGTTTCTCATAAAAAATACATGCTTTTTATTTATTTATTTATGCTATTACACTGACTTCATAGATGACTTTTCATTCACACATATTATGACAGAAATCCTAACTGCTATGTGCTTTATTCTGATTTCTGTGCCACGCGCTGCAAAAACCTACCACAGTATTTGCACTGCCACGTCTCCGAGGGGTGTAGAAAGTATTATTTCAGCCTATTCCCATTCCCGCTGAACGCTCCCATCTGCACCTCCATCCCCGGCCTCCTGTTTGCACCTCCTGTGCAGTGTGAATTTAAGCCCGCAGGCAGGCAGGCGGGCAGGCAAGGCTCCTGTCTGCTCCTCCTGACCGCCTCCACTCTCTGTTATTATTCTCTCTCCCCCTCCAACACCACCACCATCACCACCACCACCAGCAGACTTCTCAATGAAGGAGCCTGACGCAATCAAGCTCTTCATCGGGCAGATACCCCGAAACCTGGAGGAGAAGGACCTGAAGCCCATCTTCGAGCAGTTTGGCAAGATCTACGAGTTGACGGTGATAAAGGACAAATACACGGGGATGCACAAAGGTGAGCCGGGTCAAAGGGAGGCCAGAGTAGAAGGTAGGAGGGGTTGGATATTGTACATTTTGTGTGCATCATGTAGGAGTGACAGTCACACCAATTTGCCCCCTGCATCCTCAAGTTATGACTGAAGCTCCAGTTAATACGAGTGAGTTAATGGCTCTTCATTGAGCCTCCGTCCCTTTGGAGGCTTTTTAAAAGACCCCCGTGAGGCCAAACACCCATAGTAGCATTGATCTAAAGAGGAAATCTGATGCACAGTCGGTGGAAAGTTCATACCCACACATCGGCTGAGGATCCTGACGCTGAAAAATGTTGAATCAACACTCTGAAAATGGATTTTTTTATTTTTGGTCAAACAGAAACTCGTGAAATTGGCCAGTTGAAATTAAAATGACTATTTCCAAAGACGTGACCATATACTACAATGTACTCTCACACCGCCATGCTTTATGAGGTTGGTTTTGTGTGTTAATCAAGTGTAATTTAAATTTAGTGTCCCTAAACCTCAGCCCATCCACGATATTCAGGTTTACTAGGAAACTACTAACTGTGCAGCAACACTGGAAAGTAGAAACTGCATGAATATTGTTGAGCACAATGTAAAACACAATTAAACATGCACATAAAATGATTGCAGCTAACAACTGTTTCCATTGTCGATTGATTGCTTAATTTGTTTGGTCTAAAATATAAAAATTAAGGTGAAATATATCAATCAGTGTTTCCCGAAGCCCAACGAGACGTCTTCAAATGTCTCGTTTTGTCCAAAAACCCCAAAGATATTCCAGTTTTCTGTGACAGAGAAGGAAAGAATCCAAGAAATATTCACATTTAAGGAGCCACAATTGGAGAATTGTGACTTTTTTCCTTAAGAAAACATTCAAACAAGTTGACAATTAATCAATTATTAGTAGCAGATTTATTGGACGATTTGCCTTCGCCCCAAGATGCTGCAGTATAAATTCAAAGACAGTGTTTGTTTTTCCCTGCTGACGTAATCTGATCCAAACAGGAAATGGCATTTTGAAATTAAAAACAGACTCCGGGAACAAATGAATGCATTCCGGCTGTTTTAATTGAGTAAATCTGGAGAAGGAGCAGCGTTGTTGTACTTCTTACAGTGTTAAATGTCACACGGCTCCCCCCGTGCCGGTCAAATTATCATTAACGGAAAGGTAGCTGTCTGAGATCAATCTTAGAAAAAGTATTTTGTCAGTCAATAATTGGTTTCCTGTGGCGATATCAATCAGTCTGAGAGTGTCGGTGCCACCCACTACTGCTACTACTCCTGGTCACGTGGCCAGCAGGCTTCTCACATTTTGGGAAAAGAAAACTCGACAAAAAATCCCATTTGACAGATGGACGGAAGCTGCGGGGAAGTGATCTAAGCTAAACAATGAATCCTCGCTGTCATTTCTAATGCAAATCTGAGCAGCGCAAAACAAAGGCTTTTTATAAATCCACATAAACCATCAGTCATTTGGGAGACGTATAGGCCAGGTGGTATCAGTCCTCTAACACCTATAACACCTATTCTGCATACATTTCCATATTCATGATTTCTGGGAGCCCTAAAGGTTAATGAAGGCCTTTCTCTATTATGTGGGGCTGCATACATTTTGCTTGAACAGCGTGATATTAAATACCCATTCAGACCGCTAGATATTATGATTTAATAATCCCACAGATCTCCGGTGCCACTGGGATAACTACTTAACAAAATGACAATTGTTTTTTTAAAAAATGTTTTTGCCTTCGATTAAAGATGATTTTAGGAAATTCGAATGCAGAATCGTTGCTTTTTTTAATAAAACCAAAGCACATGCATGAAGAGGATAGCGATGCTGCAGTAACACACCACATCTGATGCTATATTTAGCATGTAAATCTGATATTATGCTATATTTTCTGTCTCCAGGATGTGCCTTCTTGACATATTGTGCTCGTGAGTCTGCCCTCAAAGCCCAGAATGCACTGCACGAGCAGAAGACACTACCAGGGGTGAGTGTGCTGCCTTTTTCTTTCTTTTTTTTTTAGAAGTCCTCGACAGCTCGCATGTTTACAGCAGAATAAGTGGCACGCCGGTCCATCCGAGCACACGTGGACGCACAGTGACACAGGGAAAATTAACCAAGTTTGACATGCGGGGCCGACTTCCCCTTTAAGCTGATACGCACCAATAAAGGTCAGAGGCTGCTCTCTCCCTCTTATGTTTCATATGTGATGCATCCAGACATATCCATCCAGTTAAGGCATGAGTCATCTTGCTGCATGTCACGGGTCGAAAGAGACAGCTATGAGGCTCGCTGCTGGAGTGACTTTGCCAGTTCTTATTCTCTTTGATGTTTCTCTTCCTTTCTGCGTCTCTCTCTCTCTCTCTCTCTCTCTCTCTCCTCTCTCTTTCCTCTTTCCTCTCTTTCCATCCATCTCTCCCTCTGAATTCTAATCAAAGTTAAACCTAGCTTTATTAGCATAGCCAGGCAGCAGGTGTGCTGCCAAATGACATTTCCAGAGCTAAATATGACATGACAGCCGCGTCTCTATAATAACCGACTATATGGGAGACAAGGCGACAAGGCAAGGAATTACTGAGACAGAGTGTGCTCCCAGACTTGCCGCTGCTTCCTCTTTTACTAACAAGGCTTTACCCCTGTTTCCTTTTGGTTATTTTTGTTGAAATCATTCACTTCTTTTTTTTTTTTTTTTTCTTCCCTCCACCTCCTACTCTTCAACTCTACTGAATTGGCATCTCACGAATGTAGAGGAGAAGAGGAGGCAGGAGGATTATTTTCAGTATCGATTAATTGTTTAGCCGCTAATTCAAGATATAGTTCACTAAAATCTGAAGATGTCCAACCGAATTCCAGAGAGCACATGATTTTATATTAACATTGTAGTGTTTTAGCCGCAATATTTACATTAATTAGGTTGAGATTCATAATTAATAACATGGTAGTGTGTAGTTTTATTATTACATTAGTTAGAATCTTCTCCATTATTAATAACACTGTAGGGTCTCGGCCTTAATATGTATTGTAGTCGAGTAAAGGAGCATTTTTAATCATTTTTGCAGGATTAAACCCCTAGTATGGAAATTACTCAGATATAAACACACCTTAAATAACACAACAGGCTCTTAACTGCAGTGTTTAGTCGTGATAGGTTGCTTTCACAATGCAGCTCATAATACTTTTTACCTTTCAATAGTCATTAGTCTTGACTTGAATTAACTATTTTATCTTGTTTTTATTGCATCTATTCACTTAATTTGTTTTCATTATTCATCTAATTTGGCAATTTGGCAATTTGTCATTTTATTTTTGCATCTACAAATAAAAGTATTCAGATTTTTTTCTATTTTTTCTAATAGTTTGTCTGGTTGCATCTTCTTCATTGTGAAGATTAGCTGCCTGACTCGTCACTTTGGGCTCTTGTTCAGCTTGTTAAGGACATTTCTCGCTGTTTTTGTCCATTTATTAAAAAAAAAAACACACACACAATCAATAAAGGCAACCATTAGTCGGCATTCTGAGAAGCTCGTCCCACAAATATTTGTCTTTTCCCTTTGATTCGATTATTGACTTTTTTTTTTTTGACAGTCGATCGACTAATCGTCTCAGAACATTATTTAAATGGCCGGCCGGCTTCAGGGGCTTACTGGTGGTGGTGGTGGTGGTGGTGGGGGGGGAGCAGTTTGAAGGAGCAGGCTGGTATTAGGGTGGCGACAAAAGAAATCCCATTGTTAGCGTGACAGTAGCGTGACCTTCCTGACCTCTCGTAGGGGATCAGCAGGGCCCGATGCCCCACGCCAAAGCCCTCTTCTCCCCCACCCAGTGTTTCGGCTCTCCTCCTCGCAGCCTCTTACCTCTAAGCCGTGTGGAACAAGCTAAACCCTCCTGTGTTCTCCCTCCCTCCCCCCTCCTCCCTCCCCCCCTCCAATGCCAAAAGAGAGGAGAGGAGAAAATAATAAAAAAAAAGGAAGAAGAATGAAAACCGTCTTATTAGCTCCATACACGCCCACACGGACGAGCTCTGCTTCCCACCCCTGCCACCAGCTGTGGTGTAATTGTCATCTAATTGCACCTGCGCTGCCAAAGAATAATTAACTTTGGCATCTCATGGCCAGGGCGATACAAAAGGAATAACATGATAGCAATTATAGGACTGAGATGAGGGAGCTTAAATGAAAGCACACCTGAATGTAGAGAAAGCTGAAAGACGTCATTAACAGTCATCGCTGCTTTTTTTTTTTTTTCCAAGCGTTTCTCCTTTTCTGGAAAGAAAGAGTAGGTCTTGATGCTTTTTTTTCTTTTTCTTTTCTCCCTCCCCCCCACCCTCACCACTACTCCCCTCCGTGCTAACAATGGAATAGAAGAAAGAAGGTAAAAGTCAGGCAGGGGCGAGCAGATGGTTGTATCAGAGTGGCACCTGGCCTTGTGTTTAATTTCAGGTGAGAGAGTCCGTCTCTAAGTGAGAGGGGGAAGAGGAGTGTCAGAAGCACATTCAGCCCAAAGTGAGGAAAGAAAGTGAGAGAATGGCGGAGTTGGGAAAGAGAAGAAGGGGGGAGAAAAAAAAATAGCAGGGAGCAATAAAACCGAGTCGCTGTGAGTGTGGCGATGGAGAGAATAGATTCTCTTCCTGAGCTGCACTCATTCTGTCCTGCTTGGACATCTTGTACTCTTGTCCCCTCTGTTCTTATCGCTTTATCTGTGTACTGTCTCAAGCCATTTGTCTGGCCCGGTCAGCTGTTGTGAGGCTCATGGAGACAATAACATCCACGTTGTGCCACATTGAACTGAGTCACTTTACGAAGGCAGGAGCTGAGATTACAGCAACTTCAAGGAAACGCCTGTTTTAAAAACGGTCATCAGAGCCGAAATGAATTCTCGTAATTGAAAATGAATCAGCACTATTTTCACATCCCATTAACCTCTGAAGTCATTTGTCAATAAAAATGACAAAAATTCTCCCCTTGTACATATTTTATGGCTTTCTTTGGCCTGAATATATTCAGATTTTGGACTGTTGGTCACACAAAACGCTTCAAGATGAGTTAATTAGTAGATTAAAAAGACTTTGTGATGTACACTTATTTCTGTTTTTATCGAGATTTACATGAAAAAAATCAAAACTACTCTCATTTACATCCAGTTAATATCAACCTGCAGCCACAGAATGCATGGAAAAAAGTGGACTTAGCATGTATTCTTACCAACGGCCACTAGGGGGTGACTCCTCTGGTTACAAAAGAAGTTCTATTGTGTAGAACTGTATTTGAAAATAACCCGATTTCTCGCTTGATTTGTTGCTTCAGTGAGCATTTTTGTAATGTGTGTATGATTACAATTGTTATTTCCTAGTATTTTTGAATACAGCGTAATATTTGTTTTGTAAATTATAGTAGAATTTAGAGCAAAATAGACAATAAATGTATGCTTTGCGTGCATAGTCGCTAATTACGTCTGGTTTCGTAAGATAGTAATGACAAAAGGCCAAACAGTAATCCAGAAGCTAATCGTGAATATCATGTTAGCTATGTTAATCTATTATCTACAGTTCATGCCTGCAGCCAGCAGCAGGTTAGCTTAGCATTAAGACAGCTAGCCTGGTTTCGTTCAGAGGTAACAAAACCTGCCTTAAAAGCACCTATAAAGCTCACAGATTAGCTTGAATTGAGCTGTTCCCCCTTGTTTTCAGTCGTTATGCTAAGCTAAGCTAACCAGCAGCCAACTGTAGTTTGCACATGGACACGAGAACGGCGTTGATCTTCTCATTAATTCTCGACAAGAAAGCAAATTATCTCCAAAAACGTCTCCTTGAATCAATGCGGACTTCCCGAAGTGTTTGCATGCAAAACAAGTTATGCTAATTGCTAGTTGCTAATTACATCTGGTTTCATAAGATGATGATGACAAAGGCTAAACGTTAGCCTTCAAAACAGTAATCCAGAAGCTAATAGTTAATATCATGTTAGCTATGTTAATTTATTATCTACAGTTCATGCCTGCAGTCAGAAGCAGGATAACTTAGCTTGAGACAGCTAGCCTGGCTTCGTCCAAAGGTAACAAAACCTACCTAAAGAGCACCTATAAAGCTCGCAGATTAGCATGAGGCAAGCTGTTCCCCTCGGTTTTTCAGTCTTTATGCTAAGCTAAGCTAACCAGCAGCCAACTCTTGACAGGACAGCAAATTATCTCCATAAACGTCTCCTTTTAATCAACACGGACTTCCCAAAGCTTACATGTGCTTCTGTAATCATGTTCTTTTCATTTTTTTTTCTAAAAAGCTAAAATCCAAAATTAATAATAATAACATCTAAATTTAATTGCGAGACAGCGGCCAAGTTGGAAAGTGTGAGTGTGTTTGCTGTGTATTTGCATGAGCAGCGGGGGAAGGGAGGGCAGGTGTTGGCGCTAACACGGTTTAATGAAGGCTGCGTGTGTGTGTGCGTGTGTGTGTGTGTGTGTAACTGTCTGTTTGCTTTTGTGCGCGCGGGTTTCCGTGGAGAGCACACATCCAAAGATATGGACAGGAGGAGGATGGAAGTTGCAGGGTTTTTTTTTTTTTCATCTTTTATTATGAGCCCCTCTCAGGTTTCTTCATTCACTATCTGCGAGCGTAAAATCTGTGCTGCGAGGCCTTCTGTGTTTAAGCTGCCCATATGAGAGGCAGGAGCTCGCTTTGGGTGGAACATCTGACTAAGCCTGACATTTACTCAGACATAAGGACTCAGACGGAGCAGACAGAGGGGTTTTATCAATAGTCTGAAAAAAAAAAAAAATGCATATGCTAAATATAGCCCAGGCTTTTTACACAGGATATGAGATGGGAAGTTGTCGTGCAGAGTGCAGTAATTTGCGGCCTTAATGTATGAGCGAAGCCTTCCCTGCTGTAGATACACATGAAGCTGCTGCTGCAGGGTTAACAACCTCTTATATATACCTGTGAGCAGAAAACTGACAAGACTTGACAAAATGTGCAGTTATTTATGATGCGCGCCT